ATATTTAACAGAAAACTCATACACAAGTAAACTAAAACAAACATTTTTTTCGTTTCTTAATTACATTTTCATTTTAACCTATTTCAAAATTAGCTGTTCCCGTGCTGCTTCATCCGCATGAAGTTATGAAAATTTTACTGTATTGTTTACATTTGTCAAATTATCAATAGCAAATGTAAAAATGACATGACATGACAAACTAGCAATCTTTCTTTCTTGATATTGGCAGCAACTTATGGTCTCTTTTCTACATTAGGCTTTTTATCCAAAATTTTTACCTCTTAAGTTTAATGGCGTGAAATATATAGCCTAGACATCTTAGGCAACAAAGAAGTGTGTGTTTACGCTTTATTATAATAGTATAGATTTTAATTCTGATTTTGATTGTAATTTTTAGTAAAGTTTTGAAATCGATTATTTATTATTTGAGTTTTATTTGTTTTTAATTTATTTATCTGAATATTATATCGATACCAACAAATTCATTCTCAACGCGCAAAGTTGTACCTTTAAGAAAGACTACGTCTTTGTAAAGTATAATTTATTGTTCGAGTATTGGCAGTATGGAAGTAAAATTTTGTAATTAATGTTCAGAGATAACATACATGAAGTTTCAAACAAATGAAATTCAAATAAGAAATTCCAAGTCTCCAAAAGTTATTCTCATAAATCATAATAGCGCCTGCTAAATTAAAATATCAAATATTCTTTCCAAATTATTGTAGGCGCTAATGCTGCATGCAAACGTTTTCAATGTTTTCCATTGTTAACTTACTTCTTACTTAAGATGAACATGTGCCATTATTCAGTGTCACGCAGTATGGCGTGAACAACGCATGAATTAAACACGCACTAAGGAGAACGCTACAAACACAGTTGCGTTTTATTAAAGTAAACAACGTTTAAGTTGTCACGTGGCGGCGAAGAAAACTCTACCACAATAGGTGTCATCTTAAATTAATTTTAAACGGTCTAATCCATCTTTGGATAGTGTTTTAATGTAAAAAAATATCTTAATAACAAAAGGTTAAAGTGACGAAATAAGGCCTGAACATGAAATAAATCTCAAAAAATGTGCTTGATAAGTGCCGCTTAAATCTGACAGGCGTTGAAATTTTAATGAAACTTAGAGTTTATTTAGGCATTATCATTTAAAACGCGGTTAAACATTTAAATTTCCTTTCAGTATTCGGCCGTAAGATTGACACAATTCATTTATGTAGCTCAAATTTGACTGTATTTAGCTTAATAGGTTTACACTCACATCTCGTTTTTAATTTCATTTTTCTTTATTTCAACGCTAATTCTAAATTGTAGCATCAGAGTGAAATCTAAATTAATCATGCACGTCTCATTTCTCAGTAATTTCCACTCAGAGTTATGCTTGCGGACTTAATTATTGACATTAACGTGAGCTTTATGATGGGCATTAAACTTACATTAAAGCGTCAGGCGCTTAGATAGTTAACTTAGCTGTTAATGTACACTATGATTTAGGTAGTATATATTCCTTGCAGTATCGTAATACTGCATTATGTGCATATCTATACTGATATTACAAAGTTTGTACTTTCGTATGTTTTGAAATAACTCAAAAACTATTGGACCAAAATCAAAAATTCTATCACCATTAAGCTATGCTATAAGATAGTAACATTTTAAGCGGACAAATTTATTCTGCAAATCGCTCGTCATACTGACATTTTTATATGAATAAGGAACAGGAAATCTTTTTTTTGTACGAGTTAAAAATAACCTACAAAACATTTTCTTTGCGTTAAGAGATGTCATTACAAGAGGCTTTGGGATAACAATGTATATCACAAGACAGATGTCGTTGGGTTGTCAATTTGTGGATTTAAGTTGACAAGGTCTACTTCGATAGAATACTTCATCCGTAGACGTTATGAAACATTCGTGAGATATTTCTAAGAAAAACATGTCCGTTCAAACCAATACATACAAGTTATCTGGAGATTTTTTTTTTATACGGAACAGAAAATACTATAATCTACACAATGGAGCTAAAAGTAGAACACGTAGATAATTGAGTTACACGCACGAGTGGATGCAACGAGTAAGGTAGATACAAACAATTTGACCAGCGTCTAATTGGATTTCGAATTCCGGCAACTCTGTTTTTTTTTAATCAAACATCATTACAGTTCCTGATTCTCTATTGGAATAATTAACAAGCCAGTATTTTTTTTTTGTTTAAAAAGACGACATTCAACTACTTTCAATAGACTGCGACATATAAAGTAAAACACCCATGAAAACCTACGTTATTAGTTTGAAATTGTGAATTCTTGATTCTTATTAGAGACGACGACAACTTTAAGTAAGCCTCGAAGTTTAAACTTTGTTGAAACTCTCGCAACTTTATGATCGGTCTTATCTCAAAGACTTTTGTCATAGTAAAATCTAATTTGTTGGTTGAAAAATTAACAGTAGCTTTGCGGCTACATGTTCAAAGGTACTACATATTTGTGTAAATGTGATCGTAATTTAAACCACTAATAATGGGATACTTATAGCAGTTTAAGAACTAAAACCTGAAACTAACTAGTAGTTTAGTCTCGGTTTGATTCCTATGAACTTAGAGATGCGCATACACTCGATTTTTAGTTGTGCAACTAAACAGTTGAATGAGCTGCAAAACAATCGACAATCGCCCAATAGCTTTGCAATAGTTTAGTCAAAGGTGTGCGTCCGCTCTTAAAGTCAATCAGTTCCGATTGTATTCTAAAGAGGAAAATATGTTCCTCTAAATTCTTGTTTCGTATTACCCACTAAATACTTATTTAGATGTTATCAAAATATGTCCAAATTATTTAAAATATGATTACAAAAAGTCCTTTGTTAAAACAAGACAAACCTACGTTTAACCTCAAAATTTAATTTGTTCAGCTGAAAGTTCACAAAGCCCGTTATGCTAGAAGTGTTACTACTTTGCTGGCAAAAGTTATTTCATCGCACGCCTCTTATAATGGACCGTCGGGACATGTTTGTGTTAAAATTTTCAACATAAAACTACACGACCCTGAGAAATCTAATGATGAAAAATATTTTTGAAGCCTCACTTTTATAACACTGGCTTATGACACGATCCCACTTTTTTATAATATTACAATGGCAAACGAATAAGCGGCCACTTGAATCCGCCAAACTGGCGAAGCGACCGCTACTTATGGACATCTGCAATAGCGTCAGTGTTGCCTACCTTTAATCGATGGAGGAGGATACGCACATGAAGAGGATATTTCCGCTTCCTATGCGTCTCCTGCACCGTCAAATCAACGTCCCTTTCTCATCCTCTTCTTAAAATAAAAAGGGAATAAAGTTGGGTCTGATGTTATATGAATATGTCTAAATATAGTACTCGCTTGTTTAGTAAATGCATTTACCCTTCGACGTGAATACAGTCGTTAGCAGCTTATTCCAATCCTCCCGCATGAGAAACGATAACTCGCATCCATTTGCTCGAACCCGCTGAGATTATTAACCAGTAATTACTTAAAGCATAGTTATTTCCCTCCCAACTTTATCAGATTAATTGAAGTTTTTCGTTAGTATAACTATTGTTTGCTTTAAATTAGATTAAAAATGTTCTAAGCAGTTTGGTAATGATTTGTCGATTGACGATGGTTATCTCCGTGACGTCATCCGACATTGGTTAATTTTGTCTTCTCAGAATGTGTTCGGAGGTGACTGAAATTAATTCTGCACGTATGAAGTTTTGCTAAAAGTTTAATCGGTACCAATATTATAAAGAGTAAAGGTTTAGATTTTTGTATGCATCGAAATAACTCAAAAACTACTATGCAGATTTCAAAAATTATTTTACTCATATAAGGCTACGTTATCATAGGGTAACATTGCATATTTTTAAATTCCACGCGAACGAAATCGCGAATAAAAGAAGGCAAGATAGACTACATCATACACCAACATTTGTTTCGATTATCACGAAGCTAGATGACCCTGTGACTTGGTAACATATCCTAAAAATGATAATAAAAAACAATATGCACTGTAACCTAGTGTAGGTAGAGATAACGATTATAAACTTGAAGTACGAGTATATATTTCTTAAAATTCTACATCTCTGCAGTAAGAGCAAATTTTAAAGGGTAATTTAAGGGAAATGGTATCTAGGGCCCGTATTAACATCTTTGGTATACCATGACCAGGATACAGGCATGAAGAAGAAGTAATACCGCGTTTCGTCTAATGCAGAAGCCTAACTTTAGTCCTTTTACTTCATAGTACAAGAATATGAAGGGAAGCGAATTTGGAAAGGATGGACGCATGTAAGTAGCGGATATACTCTTTCTGTTAGCACGCTCCTGTATTGATTAGATAGCCAACGCATCAGCACAAACGAATGCTACACTCGCTTCATGTCACTATGAAAAATATGAATGGAATTACGCTTGAAATACTATTTCGATACCTTTCGGTTATCTGTTCGTTTTTCTTATAAGAGAAGGGGGCAAACAAGCGGCGGGAACACAAAGGTGTTCAACGACGCCCTTGGACATCCACAACACCAGAGGAACTACAGGTGCGTTGCCAGCCTAGAGTATGACATTAAGCAAGTAAAATACAACAATAAATATGCAATTAAATTGTTTAATATTCTTGAGACATTATCACGAACTAAGTTCCTGTGACAGGTCGGGGGTCAATTTTTCCTTCTACATTAAAGCTGAAAGAAATCACTGTTCTTCATCTTTCTTTTATTCGTGAGTTGAGCCGTTTTTCAATTTTTTTTAAGTATGCAGTTATAATTTACACAAGTTGATACACGATACGTGTTTATCCTGGAATGTCGCATAGGTTATCATCCAATAAGAACACTAAAGATATATTAGGTATTCAAGTAACGCCGCTGACAAAGTAACGTGTTAACTTATTTAGTTCCTCGCATTTTAGTATTTAATATATTAATATAGTGATTAGCTTTTCCTTTTAAGTGTTACGTTTTATAAGCTATTTAAACTCACCATCATCCACTTTATCCTACTCCTGTAGGGTCGGCACAACAGGTTTTTGTACTCCACGCAAATCTATCATACGTCATCTCAGTTATCACTGCTTTTTTGATCACATCACCTTTCTCGCAATCTATCCATCGCTTTCTAGGTCTACCTCTACCAGTATACCATACTCATAATTAATGTTCTTGAGACATGCGATTCATCTCTCCTCATAACATGCCCATACCATGCTAATCTTTTACTCCTTACCTTCTCTACCACTGGGGCTACTCTCAAACTTCCTCTAATATACTCTTTATGTGTCATTAAATGTCTAATCTAAATTGAAGGCGATGTGTTGTATAGAATTATAAGTGATTTATCCATTTATAAAATTGTGTTAATCGAATAAAACGACTTTGCAGTGTTTTGTGTGTTTCTATATTACTGAGATTCTAAATACCAAGAAGTATTTAGCTTTCGGGAAAGGAAGAGAGTTAGTTTTCAAGATAAAGGTAAAATTGATATCATCTATTAGTTTTGAATATAGAATATATATAAACGAAGTTAAGATTGTTTACACTAATATAAAAAGGGAAGATTTCATTTTTTCTATGAAACAAATAAACTCAATAAATACTTGGCCGATTTCATTAATTATTTCACAATCAGGATTTAACATTATTACTGAGTAGTATAGGCTATAAATATTATTAAATTTATTACTATTACTAAAGTTATTTTTGATTTCGAGACAGTTTCTTTACTAACAGACGACTGTGAATGTTTTAAAAATATGAATTTCTACAGTCTAGCAAGTAAATGATTTAAATCTATCCATTATACAGTAAGATAAAACAGTGGTAAAAAATGTATTTACAATTAGCAGAATAAACATAATACTGGACGTCAAAAATATACACAACTGGCTGTTGCTCGCGACTTCGTCTGCGTGATAATAAAAATAATATTATTAAAACATAGCCAATGTTACTTATAGATAAATCACCTTTCTAATGATGGAAGAATATTTTAAATCGGCCCAGTAGTTTTTGAATGCATCAAATACATACAAAAATCCAAAAATACAAATCTTTTCTCTTTATAATATTGGTATAGATGTATATTTCTTCAAAAGTACTAAACTAGTGTTATGTAATTTTTTACAATAGCTGCTGATTTCAGTGTATAACAACTATACAACATACAGTGAAAAGTATAAACAATGAAGTTTTGTGTGATTTTGATAATTATGACTATCGTTGGTTTTGTTAAACCAGCCAATATTCTATCAGTGTATCCATGTCCTTCAATCAGTCACCAAGTTGTGTTCCGTCCATTGACATTAGAGTTACTTAAACGAGGACATCGAATGACAGTTATCACTCCTGATCCAATGTACCCGAAAGGTGGACATAAAAATCTAACAGAAATAGATGTACATGATATATCATATTCAGTAATTAAAAAATATTTAGCGTCACATGTAACGGGAAGCAAATCAGATTTAATTAATCAAGTTAAAGGTATAATGGATCTTATTTCAATCAGTTTCGAAGAACAAATGAAAACAGAAGAAGTTCAAAACGTTATCAATAATAATAATGAAACGTATGACTTGATATTGATTGAAGCAATTTATGTTCAGGCATTGGCAATATCTCACGTAATAAAAGCACCAACTATATTAATAAGTTCTTTTGGAATGTATTTAGGTATTCATGAATTAATGGGAATTCCAACACATCCTATTTTATACCACAGTATGTTCCGACAGAGGCTTTACAATTTAACGTTATTAGAAAAAGCAAAAGAAGTATACAATCAGATTGTTATTAATTACGAAGTTAAAATTAGAGAGGAAAAGGAAAATGAAGTGCTCAAGAATATATTTGGACCAGACACACCACCGATAAGTGTTTTAAAAAATTATGTTGATTTGTTGTTTGTAAATTTGCATCCTATTTGGGAAGGTAATCACCCAGTACCACCAAACGTTGTGTATATGGGTGGTTTGCAAGTACAAGCACGCACACCTAAAACTTTACCCCAGGTAATTTTTATTATAATTTTTTTCGTTCTTAAGTCCGTGTTATTGTTACAATGTTAAAAAATTAGACCTTACAATATAATTACTGGGACTGACGCCTCTTCTCTGGCTTTTTTAGTTTTGCAACTAAACAGTTATATTGGCTGAGAAACAATCGACAATCGCACAACAGTTGTGCGATAGTTTAATCTAAATTGTACACCCGCCTTTACAGTTTGCATGTCTTTGTTCCAGGATCTCCAACAACTACTAGACAGTTCAGAAAATGGTGTCATATACTTTAGTTTTGGTACAAATGTAAATCTTCAGACTTTACTGCCACCAGAAAAAATACAAATTTTCGAAAACGTGTTTTCTCAATTACCATACAATGTAATATGGAGACGAGATAACGATCGCGTTGTTATAAAATCTGACAATATAAAAGTGTACCAATGGGTACCGCAAGCGGATTTATTGAGTAAGTTGGAACTATAACCAACGGGTAAAAATTCTAAAATATCAATGAACCAGAAAGAAAATGCAAAGACACCTTTCATCAAACCGCACCCAAAACATTTGTAATAAAATTAATAAAATTTCTCTACACATTGCAGGACATAGAAATGTTAAATTGTTCATAACACAGGGAGGCTTGCAGTCTACTGACGAAGCGATCATAGCTGGTGTTCCTCTCCTTGGAGTACCATTGCTAGCAGACCAGTGGTACAACGTCGAGAAATATATCAAGCATGGTATTGGACAGAAAGTTGATTTCGAAGATATTACAGAATACATGTTAAAAAATGCGATATTAGAAGTAGCCGAAGGCGAAAAGTAAGCTTCTAAAACAAATTGTTACTCCTCATCCTTATTCAAACGGATATTTGCCAAAGTTCGAATTTGCTTTCCTTTTTAGTAAAAGTTAGCATATGAACTGCCAGTTTATCTCATGTGTAATAAATATTAATTTCCATACGCATCTGCATAAAACAATTGAATAACAAATGCTAATACTTTGGACATAGAAAGAAACAGATTCTGTGCATCCTTCTCGCCTTCAAGCGTATCCGTTACTATATTCGAAAATTCTAGAAATAAAAATAAAAAACAAAAAGAAAGCTTAAATAATAATTGTTTTAATAACTTCAGTCGTGATACTTTAGGAGGTGTAGAAATTAGAAAGAAAAATGTAATTTACTTTACCTATAAATTAAAAAAAGTTCTCAATTATTCTGATGACTTTAAATTTCAGATATAAAAAAAACATAGTCCGTCTCCGTTCACTGATGGCCGATCAACCGGAGGCGCCGCTGCAGCGAGCTATCTGGTGGATTGATTACGTGCTGAGACACGGCGGTGCCAAGCACCTGAGAGCACCTATTGCCAACATTACCTGGACTGAGTTCCTGCAACTAGATTTAATTATGTTCATCGCTTGTTATTGCTTTATTGTACTTGTATCGACTGTCTTGATATTTAAAACTTTAGTTTTCTGTATACTAAGTAAATATAATTAAAATTATCCAGTCAAATAACCAATGAACCAAAAAACAGTTGTATTTTTCAACAAAATCTAATATGGATTTATTTATTTTTCTAACCCACGGTTTGCCTTATAGATGTTAAGATGTGATTAGCTCTGAATGAAATAACATGAACTAAAAGAAAAACTTATGTATACTTGAATACACAAATGTGACTAATTATTTACAGTCGTCACGGTATCAATTCCTATGCATCGTGGCAAAATTATTGCTTACTTCTATTTAATAGGGTACACGTAACCATGATAATTTATTCATACTACAAGTCTTTGTAAAGACAAGTCGTAATTGTTCTGCAAACCGTAATTTATATTCCATTTGAAGATATGAAGCAGCAGTGTTAAGCTGTTTCATCAGTTCACTATAGTAAAATAAAAAAAGTTTGTGTGGTTATTGTTTTGTTAGGAAGTGGAAGCAACGTAGAATTATAAAAAATGAAATTTTGTACGATTATGCTATTAGTGGTTATAGATATTGTTAAATCAGCTAACGTTTTAGCAGTGTATCCTTGTCCTTCAATTAGTCACCAAGTTGTGTTCCGTCCATTAACATTAGAGTTACTTAAACGAGGACATCGTATCACAGTTGTCACTCCTGACCCAATGTACCCGAAAGGTGGACATGAAAATCTAACAGAAGTCGACGTGCACGAAAGGTCTTACGCTGCGTTGAACAAATACTTTACGTCTCACGTAACTGGAAGTAATTGGGACTTATTAAATCAAGTAAAAGGTATAATGGATCTTGTATCTGCAAGTTTTGAGGAACTAATGAAAACAAAAGAAGTCCAGGATCTTATAAGTACTAAAGAGAAATTCGATTTGCTTTTAATAGAATCGATGTATCCTCAAGCATTAGCAATATCGCATATATTTAAAGCACCAACAGTGTTAATAAGTTCATTCGGACCATATGTAGAAAGTTATAATATAATGGGAATACTAACCAACCCTGTATTGTATCACAATTTGTTTCGACAGAGACTTTTCAATTTGACTTTGGTAGAAAAGTTACATGAGCTCTACAATCAGTTGGTAATTCATCATGAATTGAAAACAAGAGAAGAAAAGGAGAACCGAATGCTTCAAAAGTTTTTCGGACCTGACATTCCGCCTTTGAGTGTTTTGAAAAATTATGTCGACATGTTGTTCATAAATATAAATCCTATTTGGCATGGAAATATTCCAGTACCACCAAATGTCATACATATGGGTGGATTACATATGAAGTCACCTCAGAAATTACCAAAGGTAAATCGGGTATTTTAAATTACTCACAATCTTACTTCCATCGAGATTCGTTCAGCAGTTTAGGCTACAAACTCTAACAAACATCCATATAATCTTTCGCATTTATAACATTAGTAAGATTCTATGAAATTAGTATATTAGATTAAGTTTGAGAGTAGCCCCAGTGGTAGAGAAGGTAAGGAGTAAAAGGTTAGCATGGTATGGGCATGTTATCAGGAGGGATCAATCGCATGTTACTTACAAGGAGAACGTTAGTTATGAGTGTGGAAAGGTACACCGGTAGAGGTAGACCTATAAAGAGATTGAGATTGCGTGAAAGGTGACGTGATCAAAAAGGGAGTGATGACTGAGATAACGTATGACAGAGTTATTTGGAGGACAAACCCCGTTGTGCCGACCTTACGGGAGTAGGATACGCAGGATGATGATGATGAACATTAGTAAGATTCTTTGTCTTAGCTTATGTGTAATATTTGCTATACAACGTAATTATCGTACAAATTTACTTGTCATTAAATTATATAAGCTATTATTGTGAAAAAACCTTGTTGATTCTTGACCAGTAGTTATTTGTTGTCCTTGAAGTTAATTAGCCTCTGTTACAAAGGTCTGTAGTTTTCCATCATTTATGCGTTATCTAATAGGCTATATTTTTTTTTAAATATTGCAATCGTAAATTCTGCTGTCAAAAGAAAAGAACGCATTAATCACATCCGCAAACATGTTCGCGTATTGAAAATGGGAGTTGATTCATAACTAGAAACTCACGTAAACAATGTTACTATAGCTTACAATTGTGTCTATAAACTACATTTCCTGTCTAAGTCCAACGTGTTTAAAAAAAAGTTGAATAATTAAACGATTTTTTAGAATCTCCAGCAATACCTGGATTCATCTAACAACGGCGTGGTTTACTTTAGCTTTGGAACAAATGTCCAATTATCTTGGCTGCCGCAGGATAAAATGGCAATGTTTGAGAAAGTTCTTTCTCGGTTACCTTATAATGTTATTTGGAAACGGGATAATGATAGCGCTGTAAAATCGAAAAACATAAAAGTATATAAATGGCTACCACAAGCTGATTTGTTAAGTATGAAATGTTTTAATATTAATCAAATTAATATTCTAGTTTTTATTTTGCTTGTGTGTTCAGCAAAAAACATTCCTCTTATATTATGCGTTTTGAATATATTCAGCGCCTGTCAAAAATATCATTATTAATCAATGAATTCTCTTCATTGCTCTAAATTCACAATAGGCGCATTTCCGTTTTTCAATATTCAACGGTATGCAATAATATTTATTGAGTCTTCTTTTAGTTTAAACCGATATGATTTCAGGACATCCAAATATTAAATTGTTTATAACACAAGGAGGCCTACAGTCTACTGACGAAGCAATCATAGCCGGTGTTCCTCTCCTTGGTATACCAATGTTAGGAGATCAGTGGTATAACGTTGAAAAATACCTTTATCATGAAATTGGTCAAAGACTTTATTTCGAAGAACTTACCGAAGATAACTTGAAAAATGCAATTTTAGAGGTAGCTGAAGAAAAGAGGTAACCTTTTATTTTATTTTATTGTAACAGTCATATGTTAAATAAAACAAATAAAGCAGTAAGGTATTGAAAAATACTCAACTTATTTCAGTGACTTATAAAATGATCTTGTTACATGGCTTGTAAAAATTATATGGAACTTATCAACTATACAGGTGCATTACATATAATGCACCTTGGTCTTCAACAATAAGTTTAAATTTTTCGTGCCTAGTACCTCGACCCGATCCAATGCTTGTAGCTTGTCCGTCTTCACCGCATCCATCCAATGATATCGATTGTAAGAATTTATTATTTCAGGTACAAGGATAATATAGTTCGTCTCCGTTCCTTTTTGGTGGATCAACCGGAGACGCCGCTGGAACGCGCCATGTGGTGGATTGAGTATGTTCTGCGACACGGCGGCGCCAAGCACCTAAGAGGACCCGCAGCTAACATAACATGGACTGAGTTTCTACATCTAGATCTGATTATATTCCTTACTTGTATTGTTATTATTATAAGTGGATTTTTATGCTTAGTAGCAAGACTTCTAATTTCCATATCGAAAAAAATCACATTTGTTCAGAAACTAAAGAGAACGTAATGTTTGAAGTTATTAATAAATTATTAAATCTGTTGTAACAATATTTTGAGACTAGCTTTCGTCAGCGCCCATGTCCGTGTGAAGTTAGAGTAAAACAAAAGCAAGCAGCCTATATGTTCTTAGACCTATCCTCTACATCTAATCCAATTATTTTCAAGATCTGTTCAGTAATTTATGCTATTAACTGTGATAAAATTCCGTCCATCAAAATTTTCGCATTTATAATATTAGTAAGAAGTAAGATACGTTTAACATATGTTTCCGTAAAGGTTTTATTCTGAAAAACTAATATGATATGTCTCGATATTAAATACTAGCTTTTACTCGCGGTTTCGTCCGCGTGAAATTTGAAAGTACAAAACTTACGTTCGCCCTTATTAACTTATTAGTAATATACGTAATAACATAAATCTACCGATGGAAACTAGTGACATTAGAGAATTTGTTAAATTTATGTTTGCATGAGTAAACGTAATTTTACATACTGTTCATAAAGGTGTTTTAAAGACATTTAAAATGAGACAGTTAAACAGTTCGTTCTAATTCAACATTAAAAATTAATATTAACTAAATAGTCCTTTAATAAACTTACCCCTTTTTATTTGAATTCAACGTAAGGCCATTAAATACATTTTAGTAACAGTTTTGGTCTGCATTGTGTAATTGTTTGTGTGCATACCCGTGAACTAGAAAAGACTTTGTTGATATCAAGATACTATGTCATGAACATGCCCTACTTAAATACTGTGTTAAGACAAATTAAGATAATAATAAATAAAAGTCAACTAAAAAATAAAGTAAAAACTGGACATTATTTTTTAACTCGATGTCTCTTTTAGTATTCACTAATTATGCTGGATTTTGATACAATGTATTTACGTCAATAAAAAGTAAACGGAACGTAACGGTATATCGGTAGAGGTAGACCTAGAAAGAGATGGATGGATTGCGTGAAAGGTGACATGATCAAGAAGGGAGTGATGACTGAGATGACGGATGATAGAGTTATTTGGAGGACAAAATAGTAAATAGGATAAGGCAGGGGAGATGAAATGAAAAAGCACTGAAATTGTTGTTTTTTGCCAACTATTAATGTCGAACATGAATTTATCGTCAAGTAGTGAAAGGAAAATATAATTACAAAAATTGTTACAGTTTGATAATCTCAATTAGTAATCTACGTTATCTGTCAATGCTACTAAATTTGTGTGAAGGTTCTGACCTTATCTTAGGAGATCAAACTAAAACCAATAGTTGTTGACGATCTTTTTGATATAAATTCATCTCATCCAGAAGATATCTCACAATTGTCTGGAAGTAGTAACATAATGTACAAGTTATTATTATTGACGGTTTTCGGTTTAGTGGGTAAGATACAGAACCTTTAACCTTTTTATAAATATAATTAGTTCTAGCAAGGAATCGATCTTCTATCAGCTAATTCGGAAGACGTTACATTCATAATTTGTATAATCTCAAAGGTAACAAGGATTATATCTACATCTTTTTTTCAGTGTCTTCACCAATTACCAAAGAAATAGAAGATGTGAGAATAGTAGGCGGTGTGGACATAGATATTACAAGAGCTCCATATCAAGTATCAATAGTCTACGCTGGAAGACATTCCTGCGGAGGTTCAATTATTGCGGATGATCTCATTCTAACTGCTGCACACTGTGTTACTTCGTAAGTAGCAAAGTACACCAATTATCATCATACACTGTAGCCCATTTTACATCAAGTTGGCGCATCGGTTTTCGATTGCATTCACCATATCAATCGTCGCTTCATTCTCAACCACGTTATTTAAAAATATTAGAGAAGTAGAATATTAAATAAATCTCATCATCATCAACATCATAACCTGCATAATGTATTTTCTATTCAATTGTATTTTCATATTTGTAACTTTTAAAATATCATTAAATAAAGAACAGGCTAAAATTGTAAAAATTCTCTGTTAACTGCATGTACACTCAGTGAATCGTTGTCTAATTCTTGAGGGTTGTGACTTCTCTTTGTAACTACATCTGATGTACTAAGAATCGATAAAATTTTTCAATTAAAGTTTCAGCTACAAACCTACTGATTACATGGTTCGCGTTGGCTCATCATCATCCCGATCAGGTGGTGAACTCTACAGAGTGGGTTCTTTGCAAGTACACCCGAAGTTCTCCACATCAAATATGGATAACGATATTGCATTATTATGGCTGTCAAGACGCATCACATTCAGCGAACGTGTTGCTCCTATACCATTAATTGATGAAGACGAGGAAATAGTTGACGGTGGTAATGTAATGGTCACTGGCTGGGGTAATCTTAGGGTAGATATCATTTCTGTTATTTTAAAGAGAAACAAATTAAATATCAATGTTATACTGAATTAATCAAAAGTTAGGCTTTTGTTTCTTCTAATTTTCAAAGTTAAATTAAAAATTCAAACTTCTGATGTCTCTGTAGGGTAAATTAATGTTAATTTAATTAGTTAGCATTCTTATGAAACTTGTAATAGAATTAATTTCTCTTAATTACATAACAATATTTAAAAATACATTTAAAAAACCTTGATAGTTTTTTTTCAATTTTTAGGAAGGAGGCGGTTATCCGTCTACTTTACAAATGGTAATTTTGCCGATAGTGAACCCAACACAATGCAAATATGCCTACAGCAAGCAGTATACAATTACACCGAGAATGTTATGCGCTGGTCTTTCTAACGGAGGCAAGGATTCATGCCAGGTAATCCGTCTTAACATCAGGTTTACCTTATTTTTTTGCTTGCTTTTATTTAATAGCTACAGGCAATTTATTTGAGGGGGGATGGAGAAAGGTACTAAACTGGATACACGTTTCGTCTCATACGATATCTGATTTTTCTGGTTCAACGTATTATGCTAATAACTGACACATACAAGTCGGTATGCCAACTTTTACTCTGTTTTACTGGCTTATGTATCTTATTAATGTGGTGTTTTTTATAGGGTGACAGCGGTGGACCACTGGCTTACAACGGAAGATTAGCAGGAATAGTGTCCTGGGGTATTGGATGTGCGAGACCTAACTATCCCGGAGTGTATACTAAGGTTTCAGCGCTAAGAAGATGGGTTGATGAGACCAGTTATTACTTGAGAGTTAACCATTAGACAATACCTAAATCTTATTTATTGTTTAGTTTTAATAATTTATTATGATCGTGTAGTATTTCCATGTTATTTAACTTGTTGTTATGTTAATAAAATGATTGATAAATATAGATTTTTTTTTATTTTAAATATCATTGGTGTCATACTATACTCTAAACTTTATTACAAGTTTTTGTAGATTAACAATGAATCTACAATCTAGAGAGTTCTACCATAAATTCAGAGAATAGAAGCCTAAATTTAAACACAGTTAAATTAAAATTGAGAAATTCTGAAAAATCTATTTACACCCTACGAATGTTTAGAAAAAGTTTTCCACAAGTTTTATAAGCATGTATATACTAGAGTCCGACTGGATAAATTAAAACACACCTAAAATTACTTTAGAAAAATCATGAACTGTTAAAACTTCTGTTATAACATAAGCGAGCACTTAATAAATATTGTCCCAGATTAACTTCCGAAAGTTCAATCATTGAGTGATAAAAGATTTAGTAAAGAAATTCCTTCTGCAAAAAATTTCCAACGTAATTTTTAATACATCGTAGGTTTGGATTTTTCTAAAAGTCATCCTCCATCTGAGGACGCAGGTATACTGACAACTAACTGTGGGATTCGATTGTAGTAAAACATGTAGTTAGACATTATTTAATGTCTCTGTTTTATTAAATGCTAGCTGTTGCTGGCGACTTCGGTCCCTTGTAATTAAAAATAATAAAAATCACAGCCAATGCTACTCAATGCAACGTAGCTTTTCGATGCTGAAAGAATATTTGAAATCGGCCCCAGAGTTGCGTTATTTCAATACATACAAAATTACTGAAATACAAAAATGCAATTCTTTCCTCTTTATAATATTAGTATAGATAAAGGATGCTGATGTAATTACTGTGGTGTTCTAGGATTAAAAGTGATATGTATATAAAAAGGAAAATACGTCTAACAAGAAATGTTTACAACAAAACGTGTACGAAAATTTCGAAATTTTGTAATAGTTCTCATAAAATAAGCCAACTCTTAAAAACACAGTTAAAATAAGTGTATTGAATTCACAATAAGACGAACAACCCACGCTTACAAGACTTATTATTGCTAAACTCAATTAGGTATAAAACATTGAATAGAAAGAAAAATAATTGTATATAAAAATTGAGGACGATGCTGGTATTATTTTCAAATATCACTCAAGGTTATATCATTGCCAAGAATTTAAAATAAAACTACTGAATCGTTTGAGAAAATGTAATATTTTCCGAAAACTTAATATCCAATTAAGGGAGTTAAAGTGGCGGTGGAGGAAAACATTGTGATGTAACACATATCGGGGAAGAAATTCAAAGTAATGTAAAGTCAACCTGTAACGCAGTTTGGTTGATTATGTCCTAATCACACTCAACTTAGGGTAGGCTCTGCGCCCTTCAGTGAGGAAATAGGAGGAGGTATCAAGAGGCCGTTTACTTGTTTGCCACCTTATGATAGAAAAAACTAGCTCATATTGAATCCAAGTTGTTTATGAGATTAGAATTTTAGTACATACTAGCTTTCGCCCGCAACTCCGTCCGCGTGGTATTGAACAAAACAAAAGTGAATAGCCTATGTGTTCTTCCAGACTATCCTCTACACCTAGGCCATATGTCATCGAAAGCCGCTCAGCCATTTAGGCTACAATCTCTAACAAACATCCATCTATCCATTCATCCATCTAAACTTTCACAATTATAATATTAGTATGATTCCTTTGTATTAGACAATACACTTCTTCCTTTCACGCAAAAAGTAACAAATCGATAACGGCGAATTCTTAGTAATATACAAACTAAAGGCACTAAGACTCAAAAAGGGTTTAAAACATCAAAATTAAAATTGATGTATTAGCATTTTCTTTTCGAATCTATGTGTTATTTAGCTGTTTGTAGTCTGTTGTATTTCTGCTGCAAAAAATCACTCTAAAAAAATCCAAGCCACTCGACGATATCAAGCCTCAACGATATGAACGAAATGAGGTTAAGCCCCCAAAATAACCCTGGATATGCCTGCGTAAACCATCAACAGTCTTAAAGTTATAGTTCTTATAAGAATTGTAAACACTATAGACAACACGTGTTAGATAAAATTATCAAATGCTCTCAAAATAACATTATCTTCTAATCTCATATTTATCTGTCATTATAATTTAATTGTGTGAAGGTTTTGATTTTATCACCGATAATGATTTGACCTAATATTTTTATGTAACCATATGGTATAAATATAGTCTCCACCATGGATGTGACATCCAGTCTCTTCAGTACCAACCAACATGTATAGTCTACTGTTTGTTTTAACAATCCTAGGTGTAGCAAGTAAGTATTCAATTTTATTTAATTTTTCATTTGTTACCATGATATGTAAATAACACTTTTGTGTTTGTCAATTGTATATTACAAATTATGTAATTTTCAAAAAAAAAATTAAATTCCGTATTCAAAGAAAGTCAATCAATATAACCCAACAAGATAAATCAACCTTAGATTAGAATTCTGCATTAATATTTTTTTAATAATAAGTAGCTGCTGATAGAAAACCTCAAGAGCAGATGCATTAGCTTGAATTGTAGGAGCATATTTTGTCATCTCACTCTTACTCTTGAAGGCAATAGAGAGAGTAAGAGAAAATATTAACGTATCTAATGATTGTTTCATAATTTTTATATAATTATTATAGCATCGCTACCAACGAAATCAAAAGAAGACATTAGAATAGTTGGTGGCGAAGACATTGATATTAGACTAGCTCCATATCAAGTGTCATTATTACGAAGAGGTCGTCATACGTGTGGAGGAGCGATAATTTCAAATGACCTTATAGTGACAGCCGCTCATTGTGTTACTGGGTAAGTTTTTTTTATATAATATAAGTTTGCAAACGAGCAAGCGGCCACCAGAATCCACCGAAATGGAAAGCGACCGCTGCCCATAAACATCCGCAATTGCTGATGCGTTGCCTACCCTTAATTGATAAAGGAGCGTCTCGCACATAAAGAGGACATTTCCTCTTCCTATGCGCTTCCTCCACAATTAAATCTACTTTTCCTTCCCATACTTACCTCTGACGATAAGGGTGGGAAGGGAAAGGTTTAAAATTTGGCCTCCGGTACCACACTTATCAGACGAAACGCGGAATTGTTTCCACTTCACGCCTTTCTTCTGTGTGGTCGTGGTATTGCACCGGGCGAGCTGACACGTTCTTGCGAAGATGTTAAAGCGGGCTCTACCACTGTTAGAGAAGATGATCTTAACGAACACATATTTGAATTTGAATACATAGATATACTTCGGTCTCTACAATTAGGACAACGATTTTCTAAATGTTGGAGTAATTTAATTTCACTTGCGTTGGATATCAACAATTCTATAACCTCGATATCTAGTGTCATCTAATTTATATTTGTTTTCAGTTCAAACGCCCGTGACTACTCAGTCCGTGTTGGTTCATCATCCAGTCAATCTGGTGGTCAAGTGATACCAGTCAGTGATTTAGTATGGCATCGCAACTTCACGTATTCTAAGATGGATTGTGATGTCGCTTTAGTGAGATTGGCAGTGCCATTGGTGTTCAGCGATAGCATAGCACCTATCGATATGTTACAAGTTAACGAAGAGATTCCTGATGGAGACATTACTATGGTCACAGGATGGGGAAATCTTAGGGTAAGTAGAAATTCTATATCTACAGTTAATTAGATTACAGAGATTTACCACTTCTTGTTCTTAGATGCCGAATTTTGTAAGACAAATGTTTCAATAAGAATCCGTTTTACCTATATTATTTATAGGCCTAATTTAAATCCCTTTCTCTTTACCACCCTTTTCTTTTAAGGAGAGGTTGGCAAGAGGAAGTGGATTTGATGGTGAAGGAGATGCATAGGAAGGGGAAATATCCTCTTTATGTGCGTCTCCTCCTCCGTCGTTTAAGGGTAGGCAACGCATCTGCAATTGCGGATGTCTAAGGGCAGCGGTCGCTTCGCCATTTTGGCGATTTCAGGTGGCCGCTTGCTCGTTTGCCACCTTATGTTATAGAAAAAAAATATTATGTCTTTAATATGAACAATATCAAAATTAAAATTTCATTCTAATTGTTTTAATTTATGTCTAGGAAACTGGTGGATACCCAAGGCAGCTGCAAATGGTGTTAGTGCCGACTGTTAACACTGTCATTTGCGATGTTGCGTATTCACCTTCTTACACTGTTACTGCTACGATGATATGCGCTGGTGTCCCTGAAGGTGGAAAGGATGCTTGTCAGGTATGATCTTGAGGATTAATGCTTGTGAAATCTAGGTGTTAACTTCTTTGTTTGTTTTACATTTATATGTAATCAATTCTGAGTACTCTTTAGAGGCTCTCATCTTCTTTAGAGCGGGCGAACACCTTTGACTAAACTATGACACAACTGTTGTGCGATTGTCGATTGTTTCGCAACAAGTTCAACTGTTTAGTTGCACAACTAAAATCGAGTGGTGTACGCACCTCCATATTAGCTCATAGGAGTCAAAGCGACCCTAACCATTTGTACTATCGTTTAGTCAAAGGTGTGCGCGCTATCTTACTATTTCACCAAATTGTTCTTACCGAGTTCTTCTATTTAAGATTCTCTTTGAATTTTAGTCTCAGCATCCTTTTTCAAGCTACATTTTATAGTCTTTTCAAGCCTATTTTCGAATTGTAAATTCATATATGAAGGTATATTTTTCTTCTTTTCAGGGTGACAGTGGTGGTCCGTTGGTACACAATGGTCGTCTTGCTGGAATCGTATCCTGGGGCTTGGGCTGCGCTCGACCCAATTATCCCGGAGTGTACGCTAAAGTCGCCGCACTGAGGGACTGGATCGATGAAAACAGTGAAATGTTAAGACAGAAATATATCTTAAGATTGTAGGTTAAGAGATTGTTATGATTTTGAGTTGATTAATATTTATTGTTTAGTAATTTATTAAATAGTTATTTGAATAAATAATATCGAATATTAAATGTTTCATTATTTTGAATGACGGTGAAGTCTTTGATAAACAATGATATTTAAGAGGTAATTAATTGTCCAAATGCCACTTAACTAAGTAACAATCAGTGGATCAAAATTGATAAGTTTTTGAGGAGAATAATAAAGCTAATCCATACATATAATAAAATTAGTGTCTGTAATATCAAAAGAAAGATTCCATATTTTGGGAGATAATGTATTTGCGTCGCTAATAACGGAAATCTCATTTAAATTTTTTTTTGTCTGTCTGTCTGTCCACAAGCCGCGTTTGTTCCGGATAATCTCCGAAACGGCTGGGCCGATTTCGACCTGACTTTTACAGAAGGGTAACTGTCATAGACGGGCATATTATAGGCTACTTTTTATCTTTATATAGCGTGGATGAAGTCGCAGGCAATAGCTAGAATATAATACTACTAATAAATTCTGATTGAAACTTAAATGGAAACTCAAAATAAACCTAATAGTATATTGAGTATTTGAAATATATACTAAAGTACTGCTTAAATACACTTTAGATGTCTCTGAGTATAGTGAGACTAGTGTTGCGATTCATTGCCGCTCATGATCTTCATAAGGTTATTAAAAAAATCCTATTTGAAGTAAATGTTTAAGAACAGATTTTATGATAAAAACAGTTATATATGAAGGTAAAAATATTTTAGTATTCAAATACATTTACTTGGGTCACGGTCAAAATCGAAATCTTTATAATATTTTTATTTGTTGTACTGATAATAAAATAGTAGAGATTTTAATTAATAATAGACATTGACTGTAATTGACATAAATTATTTGTTACGTAATTCTATTTAAACTGGAAAAATTAATTCAAAATTTTAAAGAAACTAGACGTTTAAAAAGTGTTATTATTACTAATTGCATTCAGGGTTTGTGCTAAGAATTATTAACTTTCTATCTGACCGCCAGTGTATATCGTTATAGTAAGTTTTCACTGCTGTAACGAATAAAAATATAATTCTGTTTTTCTTTAGGAAAGAGTAAAATGCAATGTTAAAGTTTAAAATGTTGACAATCTCTGAATTTTACAACGCACGTAAATATATAAATTAACACTTTTAACATTTACTAGACAGACCTACAGACTTAAAGCATCATTTTCGTTATGTATTTAAAACAAAAATATTTGATTTTATCCAGTATATTTAACAGTTTTATTAAAAGATTATTTATTTTAAAACGAGCTGTCGCCCGCAAACTTGTTAGCGCAAATTTGGACCACCCGTTACTCCATTTTGACAGCGCGGAATTAAAAAAAGTAGCCTATAATATGCCCGTCTATGTCAGCTACCCTCCAGTGAAAGTCCCGTCGAAATCGGACAGCCGTTTCGTAGATTACCCGGAACAAACGCCGCTTGCGGACAGACAGACAGAAAAAATTAAATGCCGTTTTTGTTATTAGCAACGTAAGTACATCATCTTCCCGAAATCTGAATTTTTTCTTTTGATTTCAAAATACATTCCAATTTTATTATATTTCTTTTTTATATATAAATGAGGGGGCAAAGGAGCGGCGGGAACACAGAGGTGGTCAACGACGCCCAGACATCCGCAACACCAAAGGAACAACAGATGTGTTGCCGGCCTTTAAGGAAATTATAGACTCGCTTCTTGAAGGACCCTAAGTCGTATTGATTTAGAAATACCGCCGAAGACAGACCGTTCCACAACGCGGCTGTGAGGGGCAGAAAGTTCCGCGAAAACCGCACGGTTTTATGTATAAGTAAAGAAAAGGTTTATAACACCGTAACTATATCACTAAAATACAAATATTTTGTAATCGTTATCAAACGCACTCTAGACTTAATTACAAATGTTATCTTAAAATCTCCACATTATCTGTCATTACAACTGAAACGATGTGAAGGTTAATATTTATCAGTTGTAATTGTTGACCGAACATTTTTTATATAATTTAAGTATATATGCACTTACTTAAACAGAAATGTAATCAAGAGCGTCCAAGTGATTGCTACGAAATGTTCAAAATAATAATAATTTTCACTGCTGGTGTTGTGGGTAAGATTATTTAGTTTAATAAATGTTACATTAAAAAAATAGAAAACAAAGTAACATCTATTGACCAACAACGAAAGTCAAATTTACAATTAAATTAAAAAGAAAAACTAAACACAATTCATGGCCAAAAGGACGATCCTCAGCTGACGCGGCCTCCAGCTTGCCACTAAATGGCTTGCTGATTTGCATCCTCCTAACTATTTTAAAGAGAGGGTAGTTGAGAAGCCATCGTTGCATTCATATGTATGTAAACGTCGAAGACATTCAAGAAATGTATAGACTAGGCATCAAAAACAAATTTTTTCACTGGTAATTTTTCTGACAGGTAATATATCAATTGTCAATTTTAGTGTGCCTCCTCGTGTGCTTGTATATATTTTACAAAATTATAATATACTCCGTATATTGTAATAAACTAAACAGTGTCACAAAATGAAATATAAATATTATTTAACTAGCTGTTGCCGTGCGGCTTCATCCGCATTAAAATTATAAAAGTTTTATTTTATTGTTCACATTTGTCAAATTATCAATTGCAAATGTCAAACTGACATGATATGACAAACCATAGTAATCTTGTTTCCTTGATGTTGGCAGCAACTAATGGTCTCTTTTCCACATTAGGGTTTTTATCCAAAGTATTTATCCTCTAAGTTTAATGTCGTAAAAATGTATAGCCCAAAGCGTGACGTAAATGTAGGGCTTTTTATTAAAGAAAGTATTATTTAAAAATATGCTGTAATTGCTGACATCTTAGGCAACAAAGAAGTGTTTGTTTACGCTTTTTATAATATAATAATATAATATAGATGACACCTAAAGACAAATAATTGAAATACAATTAATTATATTGACATGTGATTTCGAAGTTGTCAACGTTATGGTTATGTGAAAAATATCTCAAAGAGAAATGTCAACTATGCCTCTATACATTTTGAATCTCTTTGGTAAACGTCTATTCTCGTATTTGATCTTTGAAGCTCTACTTTCAATTATTACAGCGTCAGTGCCAACAATAAAAACAAAAGAAGATGTAAGGATCGTTGGCGGAGAAGATATAGAGATAACATCAGCACCGTATCAGATATCGCTAGTGAAATATGGTAGACATTCGTGTGGAGGATCTATAATTGCTGTTGATACGATTATAACAGCAGCACATTGCGTTATCAAGTACGTACAAGCATTATCTATTTTATAAAATTAAACCGGTTTAAAAAAGCAAAAAAAAACTACATCCAAAATTATAAACAAATCTGCACGTTTGTTAAACGAATCGAATAAATTACGAAATATTTAATACGTGTGTAGATAAAGCTTTAACTGAATAATTAATCTACTTGTTAAAATTTTGCCTACATAAGGAAAATATAAACAGAACAATTTGACTCTTTAGTAAAACATTTTGGGACCGAGCATCTGTGACGGACGTAAAGACGCTAGAAGCACATTAAATTATCGAAGTGCTTACAAAATATGAGTCTTATAAAAATATCACATACACCATACTTTAAGTAATACATCATACTAATATTGTAAATGCGAAAGTTTAGACGGATGGATGGATGTTTGTTATAGTTTGTAGTCTTAACGGATCTCGATGAAATGTGTCTGTAAGAACAGATGAGCTACTCACTTTTGTATTTTTTTTAATTCACGCAGACGGAGTCCCGAGCAAAAGCTAGTAAACTAATTATTATCACCTCTATTTCAGTTCCGCTCCTCAAGAATATTCAGTCCGTGTTGGTTCATCGTCATACGAGAAAGGCGGAAAACTTTATCCAGTGAGTGATTTACTCTGGCATCCAAATTTCACTTACAACAAAATGGACAGCGACGTAGCAATAATCTCACTATCTAGACCTTTAATATTCAACGACGGTATCGCTCCTATTGACCTGATAAATAAAGACGAAGAAATTGAAGACGGCGATATGACAATGGTATCTGGATGGGGAAATTTGCGAGTGAGTATTCTGTGTCATAAAATAACAATCCATTTAATTTACTCAAAAAACCGACAGCTTACATATATAAAAAACATTTACAATTATAGTAGTATAACATCAAAGAATAATATAATGAATCGAAAGAAAGAAAGTCACACAACACGGTAAGGAAGTAAAAATGAATGCGAAGATGGATGCATGCATATTTGTTAGAGTCTGTAACCTAATTGGCCGAATGGAATTATACCGAATTAAACATTATCTACGAGCTGTTCCCGGCTTCATGCGCACGTAATTATAAAAAATTATTTAGTTGTTTATATTTGTGGTGCCGTACAAACGGGTTCGGGTCCCGCGGCACAACCTACCCTTGAACTACGATTGCACCGGAGGCCATAATATTGTAAACGTAAGGGGAAAATGGTACTCAACGGCTGGATGAATTGCGTCACCTCCTGCAGGTGCCTTGTCTCAGTCAGTGTCAATCGAGTCAAAGTCTGGTTCAGTCAAATCTATAGGCCCAGCGATGCTGCCTGAAGATGTACCAGTAAATTCGAACGCGGAACCGAATTTAGCGAACCCGTTCGCTACCGAAATCGACACACCTGTTGTGTATTCGCGTTGTACAAAGAGCAACTCTAATCCTCACAAGTGTTCGCGACCGTCTCGCTTGGCTGCTCGATTCCGACCTTTTCTCGCATCCCTCTCCGCAGGCCCCGCGCCCGTCCATAGTGGAGAGGGTTTATTCATCTACCCGCCCGTGCGAGAAAAACAAAATAGGCGCGCTTACCCGCACTAAACGCGAGGCGCGAAATTTAAATTATGTTCGCCACCGAATGTGGCGAACTAGTACGATCTGTACCGAACATTTGTCAAACTTTTTTATTGAAAATGATAAAATTCAAATGCACAAATGACAACGAAGGCCTTAGTTGGCTTCTTTGCTGCAATTGCTTGTAGGTTTTTTTCCTTTACTGGATGAAATTCCTTTCAATATAATCACCTAGTTAATGAAATAGAATAAATACGTATAGACTATAACGTGCCGTAAGTCTAGGGATTTTTATAAGAAAGAGGTAATTATTCAAAATATGCTGTGATTTCTGGCATCCTCCATAACAAAGACAGTTTCTATGCTTGCATAACAGTATAGATTGTTATCATAATTTCTAGTAATAAAGAATAAGACGTATCTAATAGATGGTTTCTTTTTCATATAATTTCAGGAAGGTGGTGGCTATCCTACAAAATTACAAATGGTACTCGTACCAAAGGTGAATTCAAATGAATGCAGTAAAGCTTACTCGCCGATGTATAACATAACGTCAACTATGCTGTGCGCTGGAGTACCCGAAGGTGGCAAAGATGCGTGTCAAGTTAGTACATTTGCATAATTTGTTTCTGAAGAATTAGAAGAGAAGTTAATACCTTGTCTTGACTGACAATATATTGGTTTAACACTTGCTAGCAATAGATGGCGTTGTTATTAATTTGTGTTTTTTAGGGCGACAGCGGTGGTCCAATGGTCCACAATGGAAGGTTAGTTGGCGTTGTATCGTGGGGTTTGGGCTGCGCTCGACCTAACTTCCCGGGTGTCTACGCTAAGGTGTCTGCTCTTAGAGGCTGGATTGATGAGAGCGTAACATATTTACGTCGTAAACATTTATTTAGACCGTTCCCATTTCTTGTATTAGATAAGTTATTTAAATTATAGACATTTGATTAACATAATGATTCAATTTACGTCACGTCAGACGTCACGTCTGTGGCCATTTATAGCGGGCGTATACCTCTGACTAACCTATCGCATAACTGTTTTGCGACTGTCGATTGTTTCGCAGCCAAGTCAACTGTTTAATTGAACAACTAAAAATCGAATAAGCTCATAGGAATCAAAGCAAGACTAAACAGTTGTGCGATAGTTTAGTTTCAGGTGTGCGTATGCTCAATATTATTCTGAAAGAAATGATAAACGTTTATTCGACAAAAAATTCTATCAATTATATATTAAATAATATTTAGATAGTTAACTGGATATGCGTTGTAATTTAAATTAATTAACCTTTAAAAAACAAGGGTTTTAATAACTTAGCTGTAATAAATCCCAACTTACGTCATAATTCTTAAATCTCATGTTATTCTTACAAGTTAAAACTCACAAAATTGAGGTTATAATTATCTTTATAATGCTCATAAAGTGGCATTGAAAAATGTTTTTGGTTTTCGTTAAAAGTAAATGTAGGAAAGGTGAAATTTCAGTGTTAGTCATTAATAAAGATTACTGTGACGGCGACGAACTAAAATAATCTATAGACGTGGGCCACGAACATAGCGGAATAAAACTCTATCAACTTTTATTTACAACTTTCGCCCGCGACTCCGTCCGCGTGGAATTAAAAAAAAAACAAAAGTGAGTAGCCTATGTGTTTTCCAGACTATCCTCTACATCTATGCCAAATTTTATCGATATCTGTTCAGCCGTTTCGCCTACAACCTCTAACAAATATCCATCCATCCATCCATCCATCCATCTAAACTTTCGCAATTATGATATTAGTAAGATAAGATTACTGTTTATTGTAAAAATAAATATCAAGTAATTCCTCAATTATCAAAATCGGCTAAGTTTAGGTTACAGGTGATCAACCGATATATTTATTGTTAACTAGCTGTTGCTCCCGACTTCGTCTGCGTGAATTTAAAAATAGCTAAAAACAGCTTATGTTACTTACTGATAACGTAGCCTAATAATGATGAATGAATTTTTAAAATCGGCCTAGTAGTTTATACGTGAATTAAATGCATAAAAAAAAGCAAAAATAGAAATCTTTCCTCTTTAAAATATTAGAATAGACGAATACAAATAATTTAATCATGAATTTAAACGCCAACAGCAAATAAGCCACAAACTGGTTTAAAAACACTCGTTGCCTTTATCGATATGAAGGACGAAATTTTAAAGTGCCAATTCTACATTGAGGTCGGCACTCCAAGTTTTGGTCCATCTCTAAATCTTCAATGATGCCATTATCAATCGTAAGTAATGAAAACCACTACTCCCGGTTTCCCAGCTACATTTAACCATTCGTTAGTGTTTTTGGTTCGATAAGAAGCGAAATGCGTCTCCGAACTACGTAACCTGAGATAGAACGTTGTCCACCTAACACTAGTCGCTACTCGCTAAGTAAAGATAAAATAAATGGAGACAGTAACCCAGCTTTAACCAAGCAAATGTATTCCGTCCAGGCGTAGTTTTTAAATACTTCATGGCCACAAAGTAGGAAGCAGAACGTCCTTTTGTTATCACTGGTCAGCTAAACCATTAAAAGCTTAGTGCGAGAACACAAGTAAAATTTACGACATAAAATTTGTTGTTGCATTTTTGATTAAAATGTATATTACATTTTCATCTATACTATTATAATAAAACGTAAACACACACTTCTTTGTTGCCTAAGATATCAGTAATTACAACAAATTTCTGAATGTATTTTTTAATAAAAAGCCCTACACTTGCGTCTCGCTTTAGGCTATTTATTTTAACGCTTAGGGTGTAAATATTTTGGATAAATACCCTAACGTGGGAAAGAGACTTTAAGTTGCTGCCAACATCAAGGAAGCAAGATTGTCAACATGTCATGTTTGACATTTGTAATTGACAATTTGACATGTAAACAATAAAATAATTTTATGCTGATGAAATCGCACGGGAACAGTGAGTTCGTTAATAAAAACAAATCTGATAACATACAAAAACACTTTTGTCTTATACATTGATATGTTAATTCTAAAATTGTAATTTAATTTTCGAATTCTATTTTAAATGTCATTACTTTTATATCCAGTTTCCACTGACAAAACACTTATGCGACCGCATATTTTATTGCAACATTCTATTGAAATTCGCACATAAATTACACACATATTAAAATTCTGACTCTTCAAACTTTAATTTTTATGGAAGTTTACCGTTGGGTGCAGATCAATTTTTCCAATGGGATCTTTATCCTATCAGGCCTAATAAGATTGGGTAAAAAAAAACACTAAGGGCCTGTCCCACCACTGGCTGATAGAGGCTCAGATAGCTTAAAAATGACGCCACTGTCAGATAAGGGAACTAAAGCTGATATTTCCATCAAATATTTTACACGTTAGATTGTTATCAGACAATTTACAATTTGGTGGGACAGGCCCTAAATTTTTTCACTACACAAAGAATAATTGAAAAAGATTTTTCTAAACATATAATTGAAGGCCTAACAGAATAAAAGTCATAGGACCTGCCCCACCTCTAGCTGATAAAAGCTCAGATAGCTTAAAAATGTCGTCACTATCAGGTAAGGGAACAAAATACGATATTTCCATCACATATTATAAAATATGATATATCACATATTAAAAAAAACGTATAAACGTTGGATTGTTATCAGACAGTCGGACAGGCCCTTAACATTTAGTTATCATCAGTCGGAATATTTTTTTTTTTATATAAATCAGCTCATAGTTCATTGACATTTTTTTGTGTTCATATTCTATTACATCGGTGCCCGAAAATAAGCCTGTCATTACTCACAAGAATGGGATGAGAAAAATATTTTCACGGAGAATAAATTTATAGCCGGATAAGGATACAATAAAAAATAGATACCAATAATGTTTACCTCTCAAGTTTATAAATCAAGGATAGTAAGTGGATAAGTGGTAAAACTCAACTAATTAAAATTGTAAATTGCAGATTTCGAATATCTTTATTTAGATTTATACTATTCAATTGAATAATTCATTCTTAATTTGTCTATAGAAAAAACTGTCAGATAGTTTATAAATATTAGCTGTTGCTCGCGACTTCGCTCGCGTAAAATTAAAAAAATATTGAATGTGGACTGCAACAAAGGTAGAAGAAGACCAAAGAAAGTATGGATGGATTGTGTGATTGTGGATATGATAAAGGGAGTGAATTCAAACATGACGGCTGATATAAATGGAAGAGGGATTATTCCCAAGTTTCATCCGTCCCACCTTTTAGTCCCACAATCACCAATAAGGTGACAGATAGAACCGTCATGGAATAAAACAAGTTCCAACCGTCCTGTCTCAAAAAGTGGGACAGATGAAACTTTTTAATCCCATTTGTCTGCAGGTGGGCCAGAGCGGGGTGACGGTTGGAAATAATCCTGGAAGAGCAGCACATACTGCACCCTCCGTAGGGACAACGGCAACTTGAAGATGATGAGGTGTTTAATTAATCAGTGAAAATCATGGTATAATGTTTGACGTATCTTTCAGTTAAAATATATTTGAAACTATGTTTAAGCTTTTGTGGTAAAGCCCTGTATATTCATTAACAACCTTTGTCTAGACTATTGCATAACTGTTATACGACTGTCGATTGTTTCGCAGCCAAGTCAACTGTTTAGTTTTGCCAAGTGAATTTGTGTGCGCACCTCCATATAACCTCATAGGAATCAAAGCACGACTAAACAGTTACGCGATAGTTTTGTCAAAGATGTGCGCGCTCTTAGTTATATAATTCAATTTCTATTCCATCAAGGTAATTGGTCTGATTCCATCCAAGTTGTAGTGAATGTGCTATTTTCTTCGTCACTCGAAGTATCGAGGTCGCCTCTATCTACCCGACTCGGCTGAATTGTCCGCATTTCTGCTCGCTTGCCATTGTTTTTCCTTCCATTTCACGTAATGATTTATGCAACACTAAACAAGTGAAAAATACACTTTTTTTTTTGCAAAATTAGATCAAACGTTATGGTGTTATGTAATAGAAAACAGCAACACATCAACTGACTGGAACATATCCCCTTGAAGGTCACGGAGATTTTCAATTAAAAGTGATTAATTAACAATGATGAAATTAAGCATTGAATTCTGATTGAGAAAAGAGCTTTTAATTTACCGCCAAATCCAAAATAAGTAAAAAAAGGATTAAATTAAAAAGCATAAATTTAAAAAAGCAAAAAAAAAAGTAGCTCTTACTGTCCATGAATGCTGACTTTACCTTACTCAATTGTTAATAACTTGCTCATTACGTGTGGACTTCACACATATCTTTGAATTTATTTCCAGACTAGCTGTTCCTGTGCGACTTCATCTGCATACAATTATGAAAATTTTTTTTTATTGTTTACATTTGTCTAATTATCAATTGCAAATGTCAAAATGACATGACATGAAGACAAGCCATAGCAACCTTGCTTCCTTAATGTTGGCAGCTTGTTTTATGGTCTCTTTCCTACGTGTATTTTTTTCCAATTTATTTATCCCACGAGTTTAATAGCGTAATATAGCTTAGGGCGTATCGTAAGTGTAGGGTTTTTATTAAAGAAAGAATTAATCAAAAATATGCTGTGATTGCTGACCTACAAAGTAATATGTGTTTATGCTTTATTATATTAATATAGATATGAGCATTGCATCACGATGTTTCGCGTAACATCGTGTGATTAACATTTAAAAACACTCTCATCTTCTCTTAGTAGTATTATTATTGTTAACATTATTCTGTTTTTATTCTTAAAAATATCGTTTATCTATACGGATGTCACATATTTATTCTGTTGACATTTCCATTTTGAAGAGGATTAAGTGCATCGAGAATACAAATTGCATCTAAATCCGTATTTACATTTTAGAGGTGACTTATTAAAATAAATGTATCTTTTTAAACGAGACAAAATTCTGTTCCTCAGTTTTATTGTTTTAAATTCGGTTTATACGATTAATGCAAATTGTTATTGATATACCAGACATTAATATAACTAATTGTTAATATAATAATATATTAATTGTCAATATTCAATTTTATAGTATCAAGTTACAGTGATAGACGCCAGCAACACTTTTGTTAACACCAATCGATATCTTTTTCATAGACTTACAGTTTCAAAAATAGCAAAATAAATTACTAGCTCACGGTATCGTCCACGTGAAATTAAAAAATATAGCCTATAATAACGTAGCCTTTCAATGATGAAAGAATTTTTAAATTCAGCCTAGTAGTTTTTGCGTTATTTCAATACATACAAAAATACATATATTTTTTGTTGACAATTTTAAGTATAGATTAAGAATTACATTAGCGAAAATACGGATCTATCACATAAAGTATTAAATACTTAAAAAAAAAGACCATGACAAGCTTGTCTCACTCTTGCATAAATGTGTAATAGACCGTAATGAACAAAAGACGGCGATACACCGTACGTACCGAAGCGCATATAACCCTACTGGCGTCAAGCCAAATTCACGACGGTGTAGTCTAGAACACGTCACAATCAAACAGAGAGCCCTGTTAAAATATATCCAAGTGCTATGAAACATACCTCAAAGATATAAGACTAACTTGGTGGGAGGTCAAACTAATTTATGATAGTTTGGTATTTTTTTCCTTCATATCATAAGGTGGCAAATAAGCAAGCCACCACCTGAATCCGCCGAAATGGCGAAGCGACCGCTACCCATAGACATTCATAATAGCGGATGCGTTGCCTGCCCTTAATCGGCAGAAACGCACATAAAGAGGATATTTCCCCTTTCTGTGCGTCTCCTCCAGCGTCAAATCCTCGTTTCCTTTTATTCTTTCCTTATAAGAAAAAGAGTGGAAAGGAAAAGGAACTAAAGTTGCGCCTCCGGCACCACACTCATCAGATTGTACGCGGAATGGCTCCCACTTTATGTGGTCGCGATCGTGTGGTCGCCCGGTGTGGGCGAGCCGACCCATTCGTGCGAAGATGATAAAGCGGGCCCTACCACTGTTAAAACTCTACTACTTGTTTAACTATCTTTAACGTTATGAGATGCTCAGTTGAAGCAAAGGAAAAATGGCATTGCAAGCAACATCTTTTCAGATCAGTCTTGTCTTACAAGTTGTATTGTTACATTCAATGATGTTACGCGCTAGACGTCAAGGTATTTATGTTCAGTAGGTAGTAATTAGGTAAATTTAGTCGAAGTTAAAAAATACAAATTAATCAAATCAATTGAATTAATGTATCGTTTATTTCAAATGGATATAAAGATAAAATTGTGCTATAAAATATTTATCTTATTAAAACAATTTCCTCAATGCATCATACTTAATTGGCAATTCGTTTTAATGGGGTATAATATTAATTGCCGTACCGAACGAATTTTAAGCCTAACAAGTCGTTAAGCGAACGAATAACTTTACGAGTACCTTTTGCCTGTTTTACTTAAATATAATGTTGATACAACCATTGTAGATTATTGTTTTAAGGAAAAAGGACTTTTTAAATCTAAAAAAAAATAGTCTTTTCTGATGAAGTCCAAGCAATTTAGCGTAATAAGTTTTAAGTTTTAGCTAACGTTCTGGGTAAGATTCGGCGCCCTATTTTTAACAAATCAGGGAGGTGGGTTAAAAGAATTATGAGAGACTGTGTAACTCGCAGACCGCGACCCTTTTTGTCCAGCCCTGGGCGGTGGCCCAACCAGCCCTACTCTAACGCAGTCACACATCAATGTTAACGCTTATTTATATAAATATAACCTCAATCTGATTATAAGGTATTTATTAAAATTCTTCAATTCGACTCTGTTACAGTTTTTTTTAATTCGGATGGACTGAAAAAGTAATTTGGAACAGTTTTAGAGTTGAAGAGGCGAAGGTAAGTTAATTAAAGGTTAAAAAATTCGAAACAGCAAGCTTTTTTTTTACATTTTTTTGTGTGATTTGTTATAAACAGACACGTCATCGCAGACCTTTTCCAAGTTTTTTATAATCAAATCAGAGTTTAAAGAACTGGATGGAGGTCAAAACTTTATTTAAATAGAAAACAGGTAATGTAAAAAAAATCAATTCCTCTTATAAATACATTTTAAAATTATTTCAGTTATTGTTTTGTTATAGATTTCTACGATGGTGATTTTTCATTTGATACCTATGTTTGGCGTGGTTGTCCGATAATGTATGATCGGCCATTTTATGACTGCGGCCATTTTGGATTTTTCATATTGCATTGTACTCTACGTAAAGAGAAGTCAAGACCACGATTTTGTAATTACGCTTGGACGTAGTCGCGAACCTCATTTAGTATTATATTACACTAGCTGTTCTCATGCGGCTTCATCCGCATGAAATAATAAATACTTTATTTTATTGTTTACATTTCTCAAATTCTCAATTGCAAATGTCAAAATTACCGTTACCATAATTCCTAAAAGCTTCCTTAATGTTGATAGCTTGTAGTTTTTGGTCCCATTCCCACATGAAGGCTTTTTCCAATTCATTTACCCCCTAAGTTTAATAGCGTGAAAAACTGCAGCCGCAAAGTGTCGTAAGTGTAGGGCTTTTGATTAAAGAAAGAATTATTCAAAAAATTTCTATGATTGCTGACATCCTACGCCACAAAGTTCTTTTATGTTTGTAAAGATATAGAAGAGTGTAGCCGTGGACAAGACGTATACTTTTGATACCATCAAAAAATATAAAAGGCCAGTTGAAAAAATTAAAAATGCAAAGTGACTTTTTTGAACTACAAACAAAAACTCTTGTATTCATTTTAATAAATTACTTTAAAATAGCCTAAATCTCAAAAAACTAACGCTTCATGTTTTTATTTTTCGAAGTCTGTAAGTGTTTTTTTTTTAATAACATAATTTGTATATAAATGGTGTATTTTTTTTACTGTGCTGAATTCAAAAACACTCTCAATATGTATATTCTATCTCATATGGGACACATTTAAAAGCAATATTTTTAATGCATGTAAACTAAATTGTTTATGATGGAACTAGTGGTTGCCCGCGATTTTGTCAGAGCAGATGCTTTTTAAAGTATCATTTAATTTTCTCGCGGTTATCAGCGTCTGTCAAGACAAACGAACAAAAAAAAAAATATTTTTCATTTTAATTGAATCAGTTTCGGGTACTTCTTATTACTTTTATGGACGTCACAGCCATGTTATGCTTTAATAAAATATAGTCTTCATTACCTCTTATGTTTTCTTCCAATTTGCACAGAATAACCTTACCAACATTGCCGTCCTGTCGTCGAGCTAATGCAACACCCTTATTTTTGACATCCGACTACTATCCATTATTAACATAACAAGCACAATTACGACATTTTAAAACCATGACATAAATATTTTAAATAATGCTTTAGATCACCATTACAAAGTTATATCGTTATTTCAAACTATGACCAATGGCATTGATTTATAGCACAGACTAAATAACCTTCAAGAATACAGAATACATCAAAATAGTTAAAAAGCTAACACTTTTAACATATATGAAGCAACATTTTTTTCGCTATTGTTGAGAATGTATTTAAAATAATGTAATTCCGATACAAGAACCTGTTTATTTAGATAAGTTAATGACTTAGATATTAGAGGAATAGAACCAATTTATACGCATGCTGATTATATGTTAGTGCTTGATTTATACTTTAGTATTGTAAGTTTGAATATTCAACATTAGTTGAGCTTAGATCGCCATTTCATTTGGGTATTTCTTGAAACATACCTGTGTCTTCGAGTTTTATAAATAATTTGAAATATAAATGACTGTAAAATGTATTAATTATTGATAAATTACAAAAGTTTAGTGTATTTGTGCAAAGTGTTGTTCATAAAATGAACGATAATTCAAGAACTTTTTTTCTTACAATTATATTAACAATTTTATTTAAATATATACAATGCGGACGAATTTTAGCTGTGTTCCCAACGCCGTGTATAAGCCATCAGCAAGTATTTCGTCCGTTAACATTAGAATTACTCAAACGTGGACATGAAATGATTGTTGTAACAACAGATCCGATGTTCCCAAAACATCGAGAACTTAAAAATCTAACAGAAATAGATTTACACGATATATCGTACGAAGCTAAAGATATCATTCTAAATGAAGCAACGCCAAATAAACGAAGTCCACTAGCACAAGTGTTTAAAATGACTGAACTATTTACAAATTTAGTTGAAATCCAATTTCGAAGTAAGGAATTTCAGAAAATATTAAAAAACAATCATACTCAATACGATTTAATAATAGTAGAAGCATGGGTGAGACCAATGTTAGTATTATCACATGTTTTCAAAGCACCATTGATACAACTTAGTTCCTTTGCTGGGTTGGTTTATAATTACGAAGCGTTAGGTGTACCAGTACATCCACTTCGATTCCCAACGTTCATACATAAAAAAATTAACAATCTATCTTTATGGGACAAATTAAAAGAAGTACACTTATTTTTGTGGTTCAAATATATAATTGAAAGCAGTGAAAGAGCTGAAAATGCAATGCTAAGAAGAATATTCGGACCAGGTGTGACTATCTCGGAATTATCAAACAATATCGATTTGCTGCTGCTAAATGTTTATCCAATGTGGGCGGGAAACATTCCAGTACCTCCTAACGTTGTTTATATAGGAGGAATGTACAAAGGTACGGAACAAGATTTATCTGAGGTATGTAGTTATATTAATAATGATAGATTTGTTCACATAATTGGCTTCTACGTAATTGACGTTAAATTGTGTTATTGCCATTGACTAAACAATCGCACAGCTGTTATGCGATTGTCAGTTGTTTTGCAGCCAATTTAACTGTTTAGTTGCACAACTAAAAATTTCTGAAAAATATATTGAAAAAAAAAATAATTGAAAAACTTTGAAATAGTAATTCGAAAAATATTAATAAAAACTATTTGTTCTAGGATCTGAAGTTATTTCTGAACTCCTCGAAAAATGGAGTAATATATTTTAGCCTGGGCAGTAATGTTAAAAGTTCACAACTTTCTGCGAAAACTATAAGAATGTTTTTGGAAGTTTTTTCACGGTTGCCATACGATGTAGTATGGAAATGGGATAGAAAAGAATTAGAATCAGAGATACCTAGAAATATTATGATATCGGATTGGTTACCGCAGTCGAGTTTGTTGAGTATGTATTAACAACCTATATATATACTAATAAATAAAACACACACACTACTTCATGGCGTAAGATGTCGGCAATCACAACAATTTTTGAGTAACTCTTTTTTTAATAAAAAGCTACACTTTGACACGCTTTAAGCTATATATATTCACGCCATAAAATTAGGTAATAAGTAAATTGTAAAGAACCGACATGCGGGAAACGGATAAAAATTCCTAGTTTACAACATCAAAAAAGCGTGGATGTCAAGGTCATACATATAAGTCATCTTTGTAAATGAAAATTTAACAAATGTAAACAATAAAGTAAAGTTTCCATAATTCCACGCGGATGAAGCCGCACGGGAACTGCTACAGAATAAAAGTAAACTATTAAAATTATTTAAAACTTACAGAATTATATATTTGAATTTTACAGGACATCCGAAAGTCAAGTTATTTATAACACACGGAGGATTGCAATCATCAGAAGAAGCGATATCAGCTGGTGTACCTTTAATTGGTATACCATTTTATGGTGATCAGTTTTACAACGCTGAGAGATATGAGCAGTTTAAAATTGGTGTCAAAATAGACTTCGATAAAATCACTGAACACCATCTATATAAAACCATAATGTCCATAGTTAAAGATAAAAGGTAAGTTTCAACTCAAAACATTTTATTTGCCACATTTGTCAATGTTCGTAAATCACATTACGAATTCTCATACTGATTGCTTCTAAAATTGATGTCTTATAATATACCAGGAAGAAGTTTTTCTTGTCATGATAGTGAATATCTCTTTGTCAAATTTAAAGTAGCATTCTATCAGTATCGTAACCATTTTTATATTAACCTGTATAATAATCTGAACCATATAATAGTAGTTAAGGAGAGGTTAAAAGCGCGGCCTATAGTGACTAGCTGAAGGCCGTACCAGCCGAACCTTCAACTTTCGACCAAGAACTAATTTGTATTTTTTTTTTTACTAATATGTTTTGTAAATTTCATTTTTCGTTTTGTTTTTGGTAAATGAATAGTGTACTATTTATTTATTATTTCATAAGCATTATTGATTTGAATATCCATCAGTAATCTTCCTTAAATTTTTGTGAAGAAACCTAACTCTAATTACCTTTTCAGTTACCGTCAAAATATGATTCGACTACGTTCACTAATGAATGACCAACCTCAATGCGCTTTAGAACGCGCGGTGTGGTGGACAGAGCACGTGCTGCGGCAGAAAGGGGCGAAGCATCTACGCTCGCCTACTGCAAATATAACATGGGCTGAATATCTAGAAATTGATGTGTTTATAGTGATATTAGTGTTAATTTTATTATGTACTACTTCTTCTATTTGGCTCTTGTATTGTGTAATGAGATACATGATAATTACAATGTTTAACGTGAAAATTAAAACAGATTAGTGTAAGTTAGAAAAAATACCTGAATTAGTTATTAAGGTTAAAAGTGATTCTTAAAAACTTATTAGTGATGAGAATGTAGAAACGAGCTAATCAGCCAGTATGGAAACGTTGGAGAGAGGACAAGCAAAGCAGTTCCTATCAGCATCAGAATGCAAATATTGTGAAAATAAAAGACATGAACAGATGTCATATAAAACCTACTTTTTAATTAATGTCTCACAAAGCCTTAGCAGCGTCGGTGGCGCAGTAGATTAAGCACTTGACTTATAATCGACAGATCTTGGGTTCGAATCCCGCCGTACCAATGTGATTCTCGATTTTTCGAATTTTCATATGTACATAATTTACCCGACGTTTTTACGGCGAAGGAAAACATCGTGATGTAACCTGCACATATCTGCAAAGGAATTAAAAGATATGTGAGAAGTCAACCAACCCGCAGTGGGCCACCGAGGTTGACTATGGCCTAGTCACCCCATACTTAGGGTAGGCTCCGAGTCCCTCGATGGGGACATGTAGTGAGCTGGTGATGATAAAAGCCTTAGCAATTATAAGCACACCTTCATGCAATATGCTTGAAAATGTTTTAATTCGAACCAAACAGATCCATTTGTCAAATGCACATTATTTCTATGGGTCACCAACCCGGAATAAGGAGAGAATTCCGTGATAATTAGTTCAATAATTCATTCAATCGGAACACAAATTGAACGTAGAAGCAAGTCAACACTGATTTTTTAGATTAGTTCCAATAGAAATTCCAACACTGTCAGTACAAGTTCCCTGTAGTTGGATTTGGAATCTAATTTCTTTTCCAAGCCTGACACACGTCAATTGGATTGCGATAAACTAGTACTGATGTTTATTGTTTTAAAATACCTTTTAGCACTAATGTTACGTTAAAAAGCGCATACCTGAAACTAAACTATCGCACAATTGTTGGGTGATTGTCACTTGTTTTGCATCCAAGACAACTGTTTAGTTGCACAACTAAAAGTTGAGTAGTGTGCGCACCTAAATATCTATACTTCTGTACTATTATAATAAAGCGTTAACACACACTTCTTTGTTGCCTAAGATGTCAGCAATCACAGTATATTTTTGAATAATTCTGTCTTTAATAAAAAAGTCCTACACTTACGTCACGCTTTAGGCTATATATTTTCAGGCCATTAAACTTAGGGGGAAATATTTTGGATAAGAACCCTAATTTGGAAAAGAGACCATAAATTTCTGCCAACATCAAGGAAGCAAGATTGCCAAGGTTTGTAATGTCATGTCAGTTTGACATTTACTATTGATCATTTGACAAATGTTAACAATAAAATACATAATTTCATGCGGATGCCGCACGGGAACAGCTAGTAAGCTCATAAAATCAAAGCGAGACTGAACAAATTAGTTTCAGGTGTGTGCACACTCTAAAGTAAAGTAGAAGATTTAAGTCATGTAATATGACAAATTAAAAATAGAAAGATGAAATTTCTATAATTGGATAATCTCTGTACTAAGTGGATTGGGAATAGATTGGACCAGCTTGCTCCGTTCCGATTTAAACGCATTTGTTGTTGATACTGACAGTCTAATCTACCTCTATTTGTTCGAATCCTCACAACCCGCCCTCAACAGCGATAAACTATATCTTATTATACAGAGAAAAGATTTGCATTTTTGTATGTATTGAAATAACTCGAAACTACTGGGCCGATTTCAAAAATTATTTTCAACATTAGAAAGCTACGTTATCGCTCAATAACATCTTACTAATATTATAAATGCAAAAGTTTAGATGGATGGATATTTGTTAGAGTTTGTAGACTAAACGGCTGAACGGATCTCGGAATTGGAACTTGGCATAGACGTAGAGGATAGTCTGGAAGAACACATAGGCTAACCACTTTTGTTTTTTTTATTCCACGCGGATGGAGTGCGGGCGAAAGCTAGTAGGATACGTTTTTAAGGTATTTGTTAATTTCATGCGGGCGAAGTCGTGAGCAGAAGCTAGTCATCTATGTAACGATTGAGGTCAGTGCTATACCCGTATTTATTGTGTTTTAGAAAACTGCTTTGAAAAACAGTTTTCCAATAAAATAGCAAAAGTTACCCTAAAATAATTTTACACTGTTTAGTTCAATACATGTAACTATTATTTGTTTTTTTTTTTACTTCCTTTCATATGTATCTCTTTTATCATCATCTCCCCTGCCTTATCTTACTCCCGTACGGTCGGCGCATCGGGTTTTCGTCCTCCAAAGCACTCTATCATCCATCATCTCAGTCATCACTCCCTTCTTGATCATGTCACCTTTCACGCAAATTATCCATCTCTTTCTAGGTCTACCTCTACCGCTGTACCCCTTCACATTCATAACTAACATCTGTCTTGTTACATGCGATTCATCCCTTCTCATAACATGTCCATACCACTCTATCCTTCTACTCCTTATTTTCTCAACCACTGGAGCTACTCTGAAACTTCCTCTAATATACTCATTTCGTATCTTAACCAATCGTATGTATCTCTTTATTATTAATAACCAAGATTTGTCTAAAATTCGCGTTAGACACTGTCTATGTTTACTTAATGTCGAACCTAAATTATATCTAGGTAATTCCGAGTACTGCAGACCAACTATAACAAAATCTGATAACGCTGTCACTTCCACGAATCCATTACCGACAAAGTAATCTTTATTACAGGATTCATTTCGAAAAGCTATTAAACTTAAAGCAAAAGAGTTATAAAATATCACTTAAAACACAATCTAATATTATGATAAGCGCAACTTGTTCATTAACAAATTAGTACAGTTTGTATTCTGTAATGATGAACGTTATTGTTACCTTCATATTTTTTTTACTAAACTCAAATCATATGGAAACAGCAAGAATATTAGCCGTATTTCCAACACCTTCTATTAGTCATCAAATTGTTTTTCGACCTTTAACCCAAGCACTATCAAGGAGAGGACACGAAGTTACAGTTGTAACGACAGATCCAGTTAATTCAAATGACCCAGAATTAGTGAATCTTACTGAAATTGATTTACACAATATTTCATACAAATCAATGAATAAAGATTTATTTGAAACATACGGTAAGGAGGAGAGTATGTATTCCCAGATATTTATGTTCGCAAACAAACTTACGAATATCTTCGAAGAACAGTTGAAGACAAAGGAAATCCAAATGCTACTACAGCACAGTGAAAATTATTACGATCTATTAATTCTTGAAGCCTGTGTAAGACCAGCTTTAGTATTCTCACACGTATATAAAGCACCAGTGATACAAATTAGTTCACTAGGAGGTATGTTATTTAACTATGAAGCGTTAGGAGTACCAATACATCCAACAGTATACTTCACAACACTGCGACAGAAGTTATACAACCTTTCAATATGGGATAATCTGATGGAATGTAAAATCTTTCTTCAAGTTTATTTTGTACATTTTATTTGTGAACATTTACAAAATGCAATGCTACGAAGTTATTTTGGAGCTGACGTGCCTAGTATCGCTGAATTGAACAATAATATTGATATGCTATTTCTCGCAACAAATCCAATTTGGGCAGGAAATACACCGGTTCCGCCTAGTGTCATTTTTATTGGAGGAATACATGAAAATCCCTACGAAGAATTGACTGAGGTACGGTGGTAAAACGTAAAACAACATTCTAAAATCATGTCTAAATTATGACTAATATAAATTAGTTTAGATGCATGGTTTCTCTAAAGTCACTTAACAGATCTCACTAAAAATTGGCGTACATATCTGAAATAATACATAGTTTATCAATTGTGTTTTTTTTTATACCGTGCAGACGGAGGCTTGAGTGGAAAAGAAGGATTTAATGAATATTTAAGTAAATTAGTACAAATTCAGCTTAAAATTTGAACATTTAATGATTTGATTCAATGATTTTTTTTCCAGGACTTAAGATATTTTCTAGATAACTCGAAAAATGGTGTTATATACGCCAGTTTTGGGTCTAATGTAAATACGAATGAAATCAATGGTAAAATTATAAGTATCTTATCAAAAGTGTTTACCGATTCAACATTAAATGTCGTATGGAAATTAGATCAAAATGTACTTCACAATCATAGTGATACTATAAAAATTATGAAATGGGTTCCACAGATGACTTTGTTAAGTAAGTAATAAAAAGAAAACAGTTTTACAGTAATTACAAAGCATATCTCTGCAAACAAAGCAATCTTTAATTAAATAAACGAATTAAAAAAGGCGATTACTTAGGAAAAGACGAATATGATAGAACAAAGAAGCGTTTAAACTTTGATCCAATAAATGCTAGACACAAGGAATTTTTAAAAATTAAAAACTTCTAGTATATATTCCAGGACATCCAAAAATCAAGGTATTCATAACTCAAGGAGGTTTGCAGTCAACAGACGAGGCAATAACAGCTGGAGTGCCATTAATAGGTATACCAATTCTAGCAGATCAATGGTACAACACTGAACAATATGTCCATTTTAATATCGGCGTGAAACTCAGCTATAATAAAATAAACGTGATGCAACTACGAGACAGTATAGACAGACTTACAATCGATGACAGGTAAGTTATAGATATTTTTTGATTATTAACACTAAGCTTTCGCCCGCGACTCCGTCTTCGTGTAATAAAAAAAACAAAAGCAAGTTGCCTACGTGTTCTTTCAGACTATGCTCTATTTGTATGATAAATTTTATTGAGACTCGTTGTTTAAGTCACAAACACTTACAAACACCCATCCATCCATCTAAACAGTATTTATAACATTGGTAAGACGTAGGGAATAGTTCAATCGTTTAAAGTTAAAGTTCGTAAGTAATTTTAGTTGATAATGTAACCGTAACCGGTTTCTGATAATCATATTATCAATTACCACACTTATTATTACAGTATATCAGAAACTGAACACTAGCAACTAACATACAAAATTCGATAAGTGCCTTAAGATTCGAAGTAAAGTTATTGGTGAAATAAAACTATTTTATGCTTTAGTTATCGTAACAATGTCGCCAGGCTGCGTCAGAAAATACTCGATCAGCCCCAGAAACCATTGGAGAGAGCTATTTGGTGGACAGAATATGTACTGAGAAACGGCGGACGATATTTACGATCCCCTACTGCTAACAAATCTTGGATAATTTTAGAGTTGGAGGTTCTATTCTTCTTGGCTATTTTACTACTTGTATTATATGTCATGGTAAAGATTGTAACAAAAATAATGCTTAAGTTACTCCATAAGATGATTTGTAAAATTAAAGAAAAAAAGGCTTAGAAAGTCATTCAACGCCTGTGAAATAAAAATTGCAATTACTTTCTATTACATAACATGTCGAAAGAAAATAAAAGGTGATTTCAGGAGACAGAGGAGACGTCTTATGTTATGTGTTTGTAATAAATATCATTACTGTACTTCAATTAAATGAAAATTATTAACATCGAACTGCTTAGATTTCTCTGACTAATTTACTAAGATTTATATTTAAGTCATGAATGTAGAATGGGCCACGAAAAGACGATTTTGTTTAATAAATGTAAAATAATTGAAATGGATTGGTACAAATTTCATAATAATGTTCACTAAAACATGAAGAGTAACTATTTCGAAAAGTAAATTGCACATTTTCGTAGAGAATTGCAATATGTCAGGTATGTCTAGTTTTATTGCTAGGTTACATTAGGATTTTATAAATTTTATTTAAAAACGCCTTTCTCCTAGCCCAAACTATAATTTACTTTACATTCCCTTCTGGCCGTTGGCCGAAATTGGTTAGGATAAAATTGAGGTGATAATTCAGTTGCGTCGTGACTGGCCTCTTAATGGTTGAAATTTTGTTTAATGGACATTCTATTGACCCATTGCAGGTCACTGTTTCAATTTGAATACCGTATTAGTTGATACCTCAAGATAAAAATGCAGAAACAGAATTTATAATATTTAAGAGAATGATATGTAAAGCAATTGGTATTTATATAGAAGACATTAGGAACGAAAGTCATTAAACAGCAATCATAATTAAACTAACGACTATACTGTTAATGATTGAAATAAAACTTTATCCTATTTCCTTTTGTCAGTTTTATTTAAGTGGTTGTTTGGATAGAGCAGTCACAAATTTACTATCTAGAAGCTTCCACAATTAACAGTGCGTAAAACATTGAGAATAAATCAAGTTACCATGTTGTTAACATTATTATTTATTATCAGTGTATCGACAGTGAAATGTGCAAGGATTTTGGCTGTATTTCCAACACCATCTATAAGCCATCAAATTGTGTTCCGACCGTTAACTCAAGAACTAGCGAGGCGAGGTCACGAACTTATTATTTTAACTCCAAACCCAGCATTCCCTAAAGGACTAGCACCAAAAAATATAATAGAAATAGATGTCCACAATGAATCTTATGGGGTTAAGAATCAAATGACGAAAGAAGCACAGGATACTAATACAAATGCATTCCAAAAGATTGGATTACTATCACAGTTGTTTGCCAAAGCCTTCAAAGCACAATTGGAAAACGAAGAATTCAATGCTGTATTAAAATTACCAGAAGACCATTTTGATTTGCTTCTCATAGAAGCTTGTGCAACCGCCACCTTAGGTTTATCGCATATATTTAAAGCGCCAGTTATCCAGATTAGTTCTCTGGGAGCATTATTAAGCAATTTTGAATCTCTTGGAATACCTATGCATCTCTTTCTTTTCCCATCTACCGTTCGTAGGAGAACTCTCAATCTCTCCTTAACAGAGAAACTTGAAACTCTTGTAGAAATTGCCGTATCTAAGTACGTTTCGAGAACGACTAGAAATTTAGAAAATGATATACTTCGTAAAAAATTTGGTAACGATATTCCTTCTTTGGATGAATTAAGCAACAATATTGATATGTTATTTCTAAACACCAATCCTCTATGGGCCAATAACTATCCAGTACCACCTAATGTTATTTTTACGGGAGGGATACATCTACCTGAAAGAAAGGATCTACCAAAGGTATGATTTAGTAGTTTAGCTATAATAAATTTAATTACTGTATATAAATGTAATTTTAATTAATGACATGTTTCAGGAATTAGAAAGTTGGATGAATTCTTCTAAAAACGGTGTAATTTATATGAGTTTTGGTAGCAACGTGAGCAATAAGGGACTTTCAATGAAAACGAAACATATTTTATTTAACGTTCTCTCTAATTTACCCTACGACGTTTTATTAAAATGGGATGAAGAAGTATTAATAAGACATACCAAAAATATCAATATCGGCAAATGGTTTCCACAATCAGATTTACTACGTAAGTATTTATTGCAACTTTATTTATTAGTTAATCTGTGTTCAAATTAATTATTATCAGGACTCAGTACAGTTGGGAAATTAATTAATTGTCAACTGTAAGGTACACAAGTAACCGACGACCGACCGACCGACGAAAATATCGAAATAAGTATGTGAACAATCAAGATTTGCGTAAAAGTGTGAGAATTCATAACGACTGACAAAGACGTATTGAAAACGTATTGTGCCGAGCGTAGTTAAAAGATAATGAAAATAATAAATCTAGAAATTTTGTCTTTTTACAGATCATCCAAAAGTCAAACTATTTATAACACAAGGAGGCTTACAATCGACGGATGAGGCAATAGCAGCCGGAGTACCTATGGTCGGCGTACCAATGTTCGTTGATCAAGCATACAATACTGAACAATATGAACGTTTTAATATTGGTATTAAACTTGATTTTAATGATCTAACAGAGGAAGTGTTTAAAAAAGCTATTAATAAGGTTATAGGCGATGAAAAGTAAGTAAACGTGTATTACATTTACATAGTTTTTAAATGCCAGTGATGTTATGATTTGGCCCGGTTTCTCTGAATGATATGATCAAACGCATGTCGATTTGGTACATATATTCTATACATTTTACAGGTATCGTAACAATATAATGCAATTAAGGAATATTATAAATGATCAGCCACAATCGCCTTTAGATAAGGCAATATGGTGGACAGAATATGTAATACGAAATAAAGGAGCAAAGCATTTGAGAAGTCCAACAGCGAATATATCATGGATGAAGTATTTAGAAATTGAATTAGTTAGTACTGTAACGATAATATTGTTAATATTTTTCACCTGTTTAATTTTAATAGCAAAGTTCTTGTTTAGAATATTTACTAATTTATTCCGTAAGTTAAAGCTAAAAAGAGACTAGCTATTGATTCAAATTAAATTGAGTTTTGTTATACTTCAGAGTTGATTTATTCAGGTCAAATTCTTAACAATAACAGAATAATTTCTATACTTTTACTATTAAAATATGTTAAGGGTTCGAAGTTCTTAACAAATATTTTGTTCAAAAATTTTTTACGAAACAAATATTGTGTAAATCTTTCAATTTGTGATACGGAATTCGAATAGTATTTTTCTATCACTGAACCATGTTGTGGAAATCGAAAATGAATAAATAAATCAGTTTCTCATCAGGAACTAGTTTTTTTTTTACAGTCAAAAAATCATTATATTTTGTGACACATTTAAAAAAATATACACACAGTACTGATTTAAATCAATACCCAAACACGAATATCCTGATTTAAAAATCAAATATGTGTGTTACTGTAAAAGTCCAAACTACAATAAATCTAAGATTTACAGGAATTCTTGATTTTACAGTAACATGTCTTAACTCAACTTGAGTTACATTTTCATAAAGTTATCAATTAAAATAATTGATTTACAATTTCTTCAACTTACCTTTGATAGATGAGACTTTCAATACAAACGACACTAAATATCTGATTATTAAAAACGTTAACGATATAAAAAATAAAAGGACGACAAACAGGTAAGAAACCAACTCTACTTCGTAATACTCAATCCATGATAAGTTGGCAGCGGGGGCTCGCAAGTGCTTCGCGCCGCCGTGACGGAGAACGTATTCTATCCACCAGATGGCGCGCTCTAGCGGGGTCTGAGGCTGGTCCTCCATCCGCGTCCGCAGCCGTACTATATTGTCCCGGTAGCTAAAACATTAAAACACAATATTAGTAAATTAAAAAAAATCTGGTTATCATAGTCACGGGATGAATACTATTCGAATGTTACCCCACTAGTCAAAATCGCGTCAGACTTTGAGACTGTAGACTACAGACAATTTCATAAGCAGGATCAATTTATTATCTTCCTTAATCATATAAATATATACTTAAGTCAATCTGTTGGACTAGTTACTAGATTATCAGGCAAGTATTAATACTTTTAGGTGCAGCAGCAGTATTGATTACTTATTAAGATCACAAGACGTGACAAAATTATTATTACTACTGAATTTAGAGGAATGTGATAGAATATACCTTTGATTCTCCACTAATTCTAAGATTGCATTTTTTAAATTGGTTTCAGTAACGTCTTTGAACATAAGCCTTACACCAATTTTGTGATGTTCGTATTTTTCTACGTTATACCGTTGGTCTCCCATAATCGGTACACCAAGCAGAGGAACACCGGCTGTGATTGCTTCGTCAGTTGACTGTAAGCCTCCTTGTGTTATAAACATTTTGATTTTAGGATGCCCTGATGAAAAATGTAGACAACAATACGTATAAAAAGAAGTGAAAATACATGTAGTATGTAAATACTAATTAATAGTATGTAAATAAATATTTTTATATTACGACTTACTTAATAAATCAGCTTGTGGTAGCCATTTGAATATTTTAACATTATCCGATTTTACAGGAAACTCATCATTATTCATTTTCCATAAAACATTATAGGGTAATTCGGCGAATACCTTTTGAAAGACTGCCATTTTTTCTAAAGGCAGTAATGATGTGTTCACATTTGTTCCAAAACTGAAGTAAATAACACCATTTTCCGAAGCATCCAGATATTGTTGGAGATTCTGTAAAACAAAATATTAGTCGGAGGCTAAACTAATCTAATCATGTAATAGTAGAAAATCATAGTGAAACAAATATTCGCAAAAACTACTAAACCACCTAGCGCATTATAAGTAAAGAATAAAAAAAACTACTGATATTTTAATTCTACGTAAATTGACTTATCCAAAAATGGACTTTAGTTCTTTCTTTCTTTATTTACTAAAAATAAATGTACTACTAAATTAAAATGTTTTACCTGAGGTAGAGGCTTCGGTGGCTTCTGGTGTAAACCACCCATGTGAATAACGTTCGGCGGTACAGGATAATTTCCTTCCCAAATAGGATTTAAATTCACAAAAAGCATATCAACATTATCACGTAAAACATTTAAAGGAGGAATGTCAGATCCAAAAATTCTTTTGAGCAAATCATTTGTACTTTTCTCGATCATATTATTATTAAAATCAATTTGTAGTTTGTTATAGAGTTCACTTGCTTTTTCCCATAAATTCAAATTGTAGAGTCTATTGCTAAAGACGTGATGGTACAATAACGGTGTTGTCGGCGCTCCCATCATTTCGTAGTTGCCAAAAAAAGGTCCTAAAGAGCTAACTAAAATCGTCGGTGCTTTTGTTAAATCTGTTAATGCTAACATAGGGGTAAACAATGCTTCTATCATTAACAAATCAAACTTCTTTGTTTTTATCTCATTTAATAAGTCTTGAAACTGTTTTGTTTTAACAACAAATTCAGTTTGTGTATTTATAAATTCATTCATAGCAACTGCCACATTTAAATGATCAAATAAAGATTCTGGGTCATCACTTACACTTGCGGCCATTGTTTTTTGCATCATTTCATATGATTCGTGAATATCGATCTCGGTAAGATTAGGCGGTGCACCGTATTTTGGAAACATTGGATCAGGTGTTACCACAATCACTTCATGTCCAAGTTTTAGTAGTTCTAAGGTCAACGGTCGAAAAACAACTTGATGACTGATCGATGGACAGGGATATACTGCTAGAATTCTTGCTGATTCTGCGTTGAGTAATCCAAATGTCAATACAAAAAAACTTATTTCCAACATCTTAGTAAAACTTAAAATAGCAGGACTATTTAGATTTATGTATTTTAACACATCACAAACACTAATACTTATTACGTTCCATGCAAAACACTTTATATCTTCTGATATTTTAATCTATCTTACTAATTATATCTATCATGAACAAAACATTAACTTAGAATTTTTACCTACGATCGAAGAAGCCTGGTCAGACTGGTTATCTATTTTTAAACATTTTTTATCGACATCATGATACATTCCGTGTTTGTTAACAGACATCGTTTCAATACTAACTGTTACAAACGACTTTTCTTAGACTCCTGAGAAGTTCTGTAGATTCCTTGGAATTTCTTCTATTGCACGAGGACCAACGAGGGTTTTAGTTGACCAACTTCTACTTAAATATTTCGTCCTCCAGAAGGTTAAATGTCTTTTAAGTTTCCCCCCGCATAAAAGTGGACGTAACTTACTGGCCAAGAAATGGATTTAAACCTCATATGGTGGACTTATCACAGAAACCTGAAATTCATTGGAAATGCGATCTTTGAGAAGTATGATAGGAACGATTGCGAACTATTGAATCAGAAATCTGCAGAAATGAAATGCCCTATAAGATATCGAGAACAAAACTAACGTGCATGAAGGTATGTGGTAATATGCAAAAAGCAAGGAGAATAAGGACCGCAGCAAATGTGTATTCGAGGTCCTACCCCTCAGTGCTATAAGCGTGAATTGTTGTTGAATATATTGGTTAATCTCTACACAAATATGCAATCAAGATATTACGTTAACCTTGAATGACACGCACGTAACATGATTATGTCACTATCATAATATCACGTGTATAAGATTAGAGCAACTGCTAGGTAAATAATTTTAAAAGAAGAGAACAATACCAGTATCGCTCTAATTTGAGTATGTCTGTGGAATCTTCTCATAATTTTCAAAGATAACTATATTGCGAACGACTAAGGTATCATTTTCCGTCTTTAATTGTAACGTATTCATTTTTTTTATATTATGATTAAAATGTAAATGTTAATTAGTTAATAAAGTTTTATGTTTTGTTGATAAATGTATTCAAAACCTTTGCGCCTGATAAGAAATATTAGCAAAATCGCTTAGTTGTAATATAATGTTCATGGACTATTCATATCTATTCGTAAATAATGAAAAGGTAAAATGTATTGGATATTTTCGGTGCCCGTTAAAAAAACATATGCAATATGAATACGATGAACCATAATCGTTGTAATAATTATCTTGTTTTTAAATCAATCAAGTTATATTCGAATTGTTAATTAAAAAATAATTAAAACATAATTTAACCGCTCACATGTCAGGTATTAAGTAAATTCAAACTCGTTTTACATTTTTTTAATTTTGATTGAATTCCTTCCAAACATCATGACCACATTGTACAAATATCTTATCAAGATAAATAATAAAGTAATTGTTAAGACAAAACTTAAAACAAATAATATTACTAGTTCAATTTCGTAGTATTCAGTCCATGGCAAATTTGCTGACGGAGATTTGAGATGCTTTGCTCCGCCGTGTCTGAGCACGTAATTTATCCACCACATGGTCCGCTCCAACGGTGGTTGTAACTGATCTTGCATCAGAGAACGTAGACGATCTACATTCTCTTTATAACTAAAACGAGTAAATAAAATTAAACACTAACACAGCTAACTAATCCCGCCCTTTGGAGCAGATTTTAAATCCCCCCAAGATGTTTTATGCCAATAGTTGGATCGGATCTATTTGTTCAAAATCACATGATACGTAATCGGAGTAATAAGCACAAATCGGCCAATGAAGTCTGTAGAATGTGTGGGCTTATAAGGCAATGCCTTATTATATGTCATTTGAATATTCGATTTAAATTTTCGAAAATTAAACTGTTCTCACATTAGAATATATGCCGAGTTTTAATATATTTTTCCTAGCTTTCGTCTGCGACTTCATCCGCGTGGAATTGAAAAAAGTATGTAGCCTATGTGTTCTTCCAGACTACCTTCTACGTGCCAAAATTCCATGAGATCCTTGCAGCAGTTTAGGCTGCAAACACCAACAAACATTCATCTATCCGTCCATCCATCCATTCAAAATTTCACATTTATAATATTACTAAGATTATTTTTAATCACAACATATATTCACCTTTTGTTCTCGACTATTTCAATAATTGCATTCTTCAATTTCTCTTCAGTTAGATTTTCGAAGTCTAATTTTATCCCGATTTTATGATGAGTATATTTTTCTGCATTGTACCATTGATCCCCTAGCATTGGGAACGCAATAAGTGGTACTCCACCAATTATAGACTCATCGGTCGACTGTAATCCACCTTGAGTTATAAACACTTTAACATTCGGGTGTCCTGAAAGAATTTGAAAACATTAAAAACCACTGAGTGAAACCTTACGATAGTCAGAAATGCAATGCAAGGAATTAATCATCTTCTGCTTCTAATGGTGAAAGAATTTATGAAATCGGTCCACTGGCTTTTAAGTAATTACTTAAAATATGTAAATCATTATTCTCAATAACATTAGCAAACAAATGTAGTGCGATGGGATTACTAAGCAAAATTGCTATCAATTTAATTCTTATTATAATTCTGATTAGTAATTTTTAAAAACGTGTCTGCATTTATCAGCACTTTACAACTAAATAAGATATATTACCCATTACGTGTGCACTTAAAATATAAATCGAAGTGCAATCGATCTTTGGCACAAATTACTTCTAGATTTGATCACTCATTTTGGTTTTAAATGAAAACAAACATCTATAAAACATCATTCAATCTATCACATTAGAGCGCGCGCTAACCTTTTACCAAATTATTGCACATCTGTTTAGTCGGGATTTGATTCCTATGAGAGTTGTGCTGTAGTTAAGTCAAAGGTGTGCGCCCGCTCTTATACTCGTAGAATAAGTATCAAGTAAGATTTTTTGTAACTTACTTAACAAATCCGATTGTGGTAACCAACTGTATACTTTTATATTGGGAGAGTCAACTTTGAAATCGTCTGTGTCCCATTTCCATATGACGTTGTAAGGTAGTTGAGAAAATACTTTTGTGAAAATCGCAAACTTTTCTTGTGGCAACATTGAAGGTCTAACATTAGATCCAAAACTGAAGTAGATAACGCCATTAGTTGAATTATCGAGATACTCCTTTAGTTCCTGAAATATTAATCTTATATTTATTAAAATCGACAAAAACCCTCAAAGGTTGTTTATTTACTTTAAAATCTTCATCTAGATCCACATCATCATCTTACTCTGTGTCACCAGAATTTATGTCTTTACATCGATCTAACATAATTTCAGTTGCCAATCCCTTCTTATTTCAAGCATTCTATCCATCTTTTCCAAACTCTACCGGTATACTCCCCTACATTCACATTCAAAGTCTTTGTTTTAAGAGTAACACCAATCATATCTGGATTTATTTCACTTACATTTGGTAATTCTTTAGGAGAGTTTAGATGTAACCCTCCCATATAAATAACATTTGGAGGCACTGGATAATTTCCTTCCCAAACTGGATGAATATTCAGTAGCACTAAGTCCACATTACTTTTTAAAACACTCAACGGTGGAGTAGTCGGTCCAAATACTTCTTTTAGAAGTCTATTGTTTTTATCTTCAGCATCATAAAGTACTTTCTGAAGTCTTAAATTCATGTATAGTTCACTGACTTTCTCCCATAATGTCAAATTGTACAGTCTCTGGCGATACATGTGGTGATATAAAAAAGGATGCGTTGGCGAACCGATGACGTCATACGTATCTATGTAAGGTCCAAACGAACTGATCATAATTATTGGAGCTTTAAATATATGCGATATTCCAAGAAACGGCGTGTACAGAGCTTCTACAAAAATTAAATCATATTTCGTTGATGAGTCTTTGATAAGATCTTTGAATTCCTTTACATTCATTTGCGCTGCCGATGATAAATGTATGGCTGATGTCATGTTTACAAATTGCATGTACAAATCAGACTTACTGCCAGTCACGGCGTTGACGAAATGTTCAAAGTAAATTCCAAAAGTAACATCGAAAACATTGATTTCTTTTAGATTCTCAGGTCCCTCGCCGTTTTTAAACATTGGATATGGTGTCATTACAGTGACGTCATGTCCTTGCTTTAATAATTCAAGTGTGATTGGTCGAAACACAACTTGGTGACTGATTGATGGACAGGGATACAATGCCAAAATCTTCGCAGCTTCATTATTATTTATAATAAATAAAATGAAAAGTGTCAGAGTTAACTTCACTAATGACATAACAACTCTTTTATTTATAACAAAGTTCACAAGACTAGATAAAAACGAAATAGCACAGCTATATATACATATAATAATGATGATCTTATCTTACAATTTGCTTCGTCATTTTGAACTTAATAAAAGGAAAATGACCAATCTAAATATAGAATACTAATTGTGTAATGTACATACAATTTTTATTTTTGTACGATTTTACCAGCGACTACGTCCAGGTGGAATCAAAAAGTGGTCTATGTCTTTTTCTACCTTACCAAATTTTATCGAAATCAGTTCAACGGTTTAGGCTACTCTAACAAACATTTTTCGCATTTGTAACATTAGTAAGAACAATTACTAAAAAATCAGACGAATTGAACACATCCATTTTTAAGTAAGTTTAATTATAGTGTTCTTGGATACTCGTACAATAACTTATTACGCGTTTACAGAAGAGCGTTTTACGTCAATCAACCCGTACGACCTTGAAGAGGTTATTCTGGCAGTTTATCTGCTACTAGCTTTCGCCGGCGACACCGTCCGGGCAAAATTAAAATAAAAACTTAGTAAGTAGCCTATGTGTTCTTCCAGACTATGTTCAACATGTATGCTAAATTACATCGAGATGCTTTCAGCAGTTTAGACAACAAACTTTAACAAACATCCATCAAAACCTTCGTATTCATGATATTAGCAAGATTAGTAAGATGTTATAGCACTTCAATGCAGACCACGACTCGTTACGGCGTTGTCAAGGCAACGAGGCATTGGTGTCAGAGGAACTCCTCTAAGTCGACGATTCAGAGTTCAAATAATCATCATTATCAAACGTACCAAATGATAAGACTATGTCTGATAATAGCATACTTTGGACAGAGCCAGATAATATCTATGTACGAATATAACAGTAAAAAATTTGATAGGCAATTGTTCTTTATTTAGGTCGATGCTTAGGAGTCTTTATTCACCTTTTGTGTCAGTTCCTGGCCTTGTGATAAATTGAAATGCTTGGTTAGTTTTTAACATTAGAATGCTACTATACAAACTTAAAATTTTTCGTCAGAATTGTCTGTCTGCTTTTAAACAAAGGTGATAAACAAGAGCTGGAGTGCTTGTTATCAACGTCATGGAATTTTATCTGAAATTAATTATCGTATTAAAAAAAAAACTCATTCTAATTCATGTTTAAACTTGTCTGTGACTATTTTAACGATTACATTCATAAATTTATTCTTGGATTCCCAAAATCATTTTGTAACGTCAATGTTCACATTAAAATTTAAAAAAAAAAAGAGATCTATATGTTCTGCCAAACTATCGTCTACATCTATGCCAAATTTCATCACAATCCGTTTTGTAGTTTATGCTACAAACTCTAACAAAAATCCATCTTAACTTTCGCATTAAAATATTAGTAAGACAATCGTTATTGTCAGTACAAGTTGTCATACTTGTATAAATATATTTGCAACAACACTTACGCTTGGATTCCGCGGGGGGAACTGACCAGTTATCAATAGTCGGCAATAATCTCTTTACCGAGTATTACGTATACTTTGTAATATTTTTCACGTGAATTTGTGGATGTAAATTTGTTATTGTCTGCGTATTTGTGACAATGTTTTTTTTTACTTTTAATGATTAAGAAAAATTACGCAATCACTGTTTATAACATTGATTCATTCATGTGAAATAAACTGAAGTTGCACAAACAATCCAGTAATCTTTTTGTGGCTCACGAGTGTTGATTATAATATCTTTCGTTTTATGTTGTAATATCATCTAGATGTTAGACAATGAACCTTATACATGCTGCTTATGGTTTAATTTCCCTTGTATATTTTTTTAAAGACCTGATGTTAGATATAAAACTCGTATATAAACAGATGATACAATGCTAACGCCACGTGTTTATATTATAAGTGCAGCAATAGGCTGGTAAATATCACAGTAAACATTTGATCAAAAAATTCTGCATCTTAAAATTTTATCAAACGAATTACAGTTCAAAATGTTACACTTTAGTTTATGTTTACTTTTATTGGGAGGATTAGTTCTGAATAGTGAATCGTCAAGAATATTGGCGATATACCCTTGTCCGTCGATCAGTCATCAAATAGTATTTCGACCGTTGACATTAGAACTTCTAAAACTAGGTCACGAAGTGACTATTGTGACGGCAGATCCAATGTTCTCTAAGGAAAATGTTCCTGCAAATCTAACTGAATTGAATGTTCACAATGCCGCATATGGTGTTATAACAAAAATAATGTCGAAAGTTGTCACTGGAAGCAAAACGGATTTAATAAATCAAGCTCTTGTTGTCAAAGAACTTATCTACAAAGCAACTGAAGCAGTAATACTTACAGATGATGTTCAAAATTTACTCAAGAACGAGAAAGAATATGATTTGATATTCATAGAAGCACTATTTACTCCTATGTTGGGAATAAGTCATAAATTTAAAGCACCAACTATTTTAGTTAGTTCTTTTGGACCTTTCATCGGCAGTTACGAAATATTAGGAGCACCTTCAAAACCACTTTTATACCACAATATGTACAGTCAAAGACTTTATAATTTAAATCTATTAGAAAAAATATCTGAACTTTACAATCAAATACGCGTTCGATATATATTTAACCACAGTGATGAGAAATTGAACGAATTGATCAAACAACTGTTCGGATCTGATACACCAAGCTTATCAGAGCTGAAGGATCAAGTTGATATGCTATTTGTGAATATACACCCGATTTGGGAAGGTAATTACCCAGTACCACCGACTGTTATACACATGGGTGGATTGCATCAAAAGTCGCCGAAACCACTTCCAAAGGTATGTTTATCGTAATCAAAACATTTCTAATCAGTAGTATTGCTATTTTAATTGCAAAAAATGCCCTTCATTATTAATGCTTTAGATATGAAAATCGATTGAAATCCCTTGCAACAAAACAATTGAGACAACAATCGAAAGCGTGAATTAATAAACGATTGTACTATTTCTTGAGCAAGAAAAAATAGAATACGAGAGTAATTGTGAACTAACAATGCTACATACTTTTCAGGATCTTCAGCAATACCTAGATACCTCAAACAATGGTGTAATATATTTCAGTTTTGGTACCAACGTCAACATATCTCACCTTCCCCAAGAACAAATTACGATTTTCAAAAAAGTGCTCTCAGAATTACCATACAACGTATTATGGAAGATAGAAGATGACAATTTACATGAAAAATCTACGAACATCAAAACATTTAAATGGCTACCTCAAGCCGACCTATTAAGTATGTATGTTAAGAATATTCTTTAAATATCTAATACAATAAGTAAAAGCATGTATATCTGTACATTATACTAATAATATAAAGTGGAAAGATTTGTATTTTTGGATTTTGGCATGTATTGAAATAGCTCATAAACTAATGAGCCGGTTTTAAAATTCCTTCACCGTGTGATTAATATAGACCTCATTTTTAAATTTCACGCGGGCGAACGTGAAGGTGAAGCAACAGCTACTTTTTTGATAATTCAAAAGCATGTAAACAGTTTATTTGTGTTACGTTCTCAGGACATCCAAATGTGAAGTTGTTCATAACACAAGGAGGTTTGCAATCTACCGATGAAGCAATCACAGCTGGTGTACCATTAATTGGCGTACCGATTTTAGGAGACCAGTGGTACAATGTAGAAAAATATTTACACCATAAAATTGGATTAAAACTATACTACGAAGATATTACTGAAGATAACTTTAAGAATGCTATTCTAGAAATTATTGAAAATAAAAGGTAACGATAACGGTAATAAATACGTTAATATATGCTGAGTATAAACACAGCATACATTTAATTTGGAAGAAGACGAGACATTAGACGGAGACAAAAACTAAAGTTAACAGTTCAAAATTCTAGTCCTCCAAAGTTTTCAATGGCAGGCTTAATATACTATGTGGAGTGGAGATGGGCTTATGAGCGTTTGTATAATGTATTTGCAGACCTTTGATTCACTCTTCTGTCCAGTCTCTTGGACGCTCGTCTATCTTCTTTCTATTCTAAGCGTAACATTTGAGACCTTAGTGTCGAGTCAGGTCTTTCGTAATGACTTCTACTGTTCGTTCTAAATACTGGTCTCGTTTCAGCTACCGAGATAACATAGTGAGGTTACGGACTCTAATACAGGACCAGCATCAGACGCCGCTTGAGCGCGCCATCTGGTGGACAGAATACGTCCTTCGTCACGGTGGAGCGAAGCATTTGCGGGCGCCCGCAGCCAACTTATCATCGACTGAGTATTACGAAATAGAATTAGTACTTTTAATATGTTCCGTTAGCTCTATTATCGTAGCATTGTTGTTTATTATAATCAGATTAATAGTACGTAGTACTTCAAAACTTATTTTTTCTAAAACGAAATTAAAAAATCCTTAATTGTGACCAAATTCAGTATTAGAATTATTAAATCGTATAAAGAGTGAACCAGTTTTAGTAGGATAATGTTTTACAACATAGTTAGGCAAAACATTTTCAAATAAAGAAACTAAAAAGTAAACTGCACCTGTTTTTATGAAAAATATTTTTAATCATTTATTATTTTAAGTACATAATATTAATATTTTAACAAGCAACGGTTTTTTTTAATATTCCAGGAAACTGCAACATAAAATGGAAAAGTATGATAATTTCTGTTTTATTTTAACTAGTATTGTCAAAAATATACATTTTCATTTGAAATACAAGTTCGTGCATATTTTATATTTATTTTTGCAGGACATTATTATTCTAGGTTTTAATTAAGAATTGATTGACTCATTAAAAGTCACTAATTTATTAGGCATAACAATTGTGCAATATTGTCGATATATATCTATACCAAAGTTTATCAAAATCCGTTCAGCCGTTTAAGTTACAAACTCTAACAAACATCCATCCATCCATCTAAACTTGCGCATTTATAACATTAGCATGAAGTATGATTAGTATGATAATGAAATTGTGATCGTACCTATTAAGAGGCGATTAAAAAAGTACGCGGTAGTGGAAAAAGTGCTGATTTTTCCTATCAGTCCAAATTCAACCAGACTGTATTTCCTTCTACCATTTCCAAAACTGTAATCAACACATGGCTTAATGTTAATCAATTCCATTTGGATCTAGCTCGGAACTGCGTTCGATAATTGAACTAACATGTCCTCTATCAGTTTACGATCTAAATCCAACTATCGCCTAAGTCCTGAATACCCCCCGGTACTGAATAAACAACACACAAACGGTTTACCTTCTAAATGTCAAGCGTTTTAAAAATCGCACTAAAACGAAAGAATAGTACTTCACTTGTTTGGATTAAAACATAAAAATATATTAAAACAAGCTTTAGCCCGCGACTCCATCCGAGTGAAACTAAAAAAAAAAGAATGAGAGCCTATGTGTTTCAGACTATGCTCTACATCTATGCCAAATTTCATTGAGATCCGTTTAGCCGTTTAGGCTACAAACTCTATCAAGCATCCATCCATCTAAACTTTCGCATTTATAATATTACAGTTAGAAGCTATATACTTACTTAATAAATCACTTATTTATTATTTATACCTATGTGTTAATACTTATGTGTAAAGGGGCCAGCTGAAAACCAGCTTAGTAACGGTCTGCACCGTACCTGCGTTAACTGAGCTTGCCACCTCTTGCCACATTTCTTTCACTAACTCCACGGTTCTATACAAGTGTTATGTAGTTGTTTTTGAGGCAATAAAAGTCCTATCTATTTATTTTATTTATTTAAAGCATGAAAAACCAAACACAAAATAATACATGAGTATGTCCTGTTATTCTAACCGTAGAATTTCATGGACGTGAAGTTTGAAGATAAATTATGTTTATACCACTTGTAGCAATAGATTAATTTTCAAGCAATACGACAAAACTTATATTAACAAAACAACCTAAGAAACAAATAAGCCATCGAACTTAAGTCAAAGTAAATCTTCGAAACCCGGTAATTTTAGTTTTGTTTCTTTTGTTGCAATGAGAAGTCTCTGACCAAACTCAGAATCGCTACGCCTGTCGTGACTAAATAGACAACTCATGTCGATGATTTATTGCTATGCGTAGGTAGCAGGCGCTACGCGATACTTGCGACATAATTATAAGATATCAGCTTTTGATCGCGTCTCCGTCCGCACGGAAATTATAGCAAAGTAAGTACTGTAAATCCGTTTAGCATTTTGAACTACAAACGCTAACAAGCATCTATCTTTCGCGTTTATAATATTATTAAGGTTCGTTTCGAAGATTTGCGTTTTGTTGTATTGCCTTATTTTATTCTGATTGTATAAGTTATATAAGTCAATATCAATTACATTGTTAAACTTTAACATGCCTAGAGACAGTTCTAACGAAGTAAATGTGGTAAGACATTATGAATTTAGTTTTGAATTTCTCCTCCCTAAGGGATGACGAATTTGTAAGTTTATATGTATCAATAATAGTTGGGGAATGTCGGGTTATGTGGAGGAATGGAGAATGTAACGAACTTGATATGCGGTTTGTTATCCTTAGGGATATAAAATATAATTTTCACTTCTTACTATAACTATCAAGTATTCGAAAAATTTAACATCACAAATTTGTTAGAAATATAATATTTTAGATTTTGCCGTGACTCTGTCCGCGTGGAATAAAAACGTTGCTTAGTAAACTATGTGTTCATCCAGATTTTACATCTGTGCTAAATTTCATCAAGATCCGTCAGTTTTGGAGATAATTTCAAACATTCAAAAAGTGTTTTTTAGGCTTTGTTCAAAATCGAACCAATACAACTAAATGTAATCTATTCATATAATAAAATTGGATTGTCTGCTTGTAATTTCAAAAGAGAATTTTCAGATATCGAGAAGATGATGTATTTGCGTTACTGATAACTAAAATCGCATTAAAAAAAGTTGACAAACAGTCTGTCCGCAAGCCGCGTTTGTTCCGGACAATCTCCGAAACGACTGAGCCGATTTCGACCTTATTTTCGCTAAAGGGCAGCTGACATAGACGGGCATATTATAGGCTACTTTTTATCTTAACATTGCGTGGAAGAAGTCGCGAACAGCTAGTAGCATATAAGCCTAAAGATGTATTTATTACCTCTCGTTTATTTTTAAATATCAAAATAAACTAGCTATTTTATTCACATACCTGCGCGAGCTTTCTCGTTAGCAGGATGTAAGGTCCCTGAAGAATCCCGGCCATTAGTCACTTCCTTCACACGTAGCGTATATTCGTCTCTCTATCCTGAATAGTTGAACATATTCAACTACGTAATTTCCTACATACGTGTCTTTAAAAATTATCCAAAAGACGAAAAGACTTAAACCTTCGCGAAGTAAAAGAAGCGCAAAGATAATTACGTAGGCAAGAAAAAACAACGTGTCAAGAACGTCTTAGCTGGCGATTATGCAAAACAAAACACTACAGGAATGTTTGTTTTTTTTTCCCAAAATTTGCATTGTTTAGGCATATTTTGTGTTAAAACTGCATATTTGCGATATCGTAAAACACTTAATTATGAAATTAGTAAGACTTTCTAGTTTATTATCTAATCTAACTAATATTATAAATGTGAAAGTTTAGATGGATGGATGTTTGTTAGAGTTTGTAGCTTAAACGACTGAACGGATTTAATTTCGATGAGATTTAGCAAAGATTTAGAGGATAGTCTGGAAGAACACATAGGCTATTTACTTTTGTTATTTTCAATTCCACGCGGACGGAGTCGTGGATGAAAGGTAGTAAGACATAATAAGAGAATTTGGTATTAAATTTTGTAGACTACAGACTAGGCTGAAATATGTACCCTTCAGTGAAAGTCCGGTCGAATTCGGCCCAGCCGTTTCGGAGATGATGTGAACCAAATGCGGCTTGCCGACACACAGACAGACAGAGAGACAATTTTTTTTTAAAATGCGATTTTCGTTATCAGCAACGCAAACACATCATGTTAACGAAATCTGGAATTTTTCTTCTGATATCACAAACAGACACTCCAATTTTATTATAATAATAGTTAAAGATTATCAGATTTACCGAAAAATCTTTCGTACATCGTACAAAATGTGTATTTTCTATAAATTTTTATCAGAGAATGTCTTATTTACTTAACTTTATAGCTTTTTACATAGGCAGCATTTGGCAGTGGACATTTTGTTAACACACATTTAAGTTTTTATTCCATTTAACATTTTTATCTTCCATCGATATAGATGGAATATTGTGGTAATATTTGACAATTTATGTCAATACCGTAGTAGATCGCAGATGATTTACGTTGGCACCGAACTTAGTGCAGAACTGGACGATAAATCAGAACACAGATATACACAATACGGGACTACTAACAGAGAGCGCACACACTTTGACTAAACTGTCGTAATTGTTTAGCCACGCTTTGATACTTGAAATTATAATTTTTTTTTATATAGCATAAGGTGGCAAACGTACAAGCGGCCACCTGAATCCACCAAAATGGCGAAGCGAACGCTGCCCATAGACATCCGCAATTGCAGATGCGTTGCTTACCCTTATCCGACGGAGGAGGAGACGCACATTAAGAGGATATTTCCCCTTCCTATGCATCTCCTCCACCGTCAAATCCACTTCCCTTTCCCATCCTTTCCTTATAAGAAAAGGGTAGTAAAGTTAAAGGGACTTAAATTAGGCCTCCGGCACCACACTCATCAGCCGAAACAAGGAATTGCTTCCACATCACGCCTGTCTTCTGTGTGGTCGTGGTATTACTGGGGGCGTGCCGGCCCTACAGTGCAAAGATGTTAAAGCGGGCACTACCACTGTTAAAAATATGGAGGTGCGCACACCACATAATTTTTAACTGTCCTTATCAATAGTTGAATTTTATGCGAACAAATGACAATCGACAGTCGCACAACTGTTATGCGATAGTTTAGTTAAAGATGTTCGCCCCTCTGATTCTCTGCGACTTCATTCGCATGAAACTATAAGAATTTTATTTTTCAAATGCACAAATGACAACAAAGACCTTTGACAATGGATAACAATTACCGTTAGCATGGCAATCTTGCTTCGTTCCTGCTATTGGCTTATAATTTTGTCCCTTTCCCACATGAGGATTTTTCCAATTTATTTACCCTTATGTTTAATAGCTTGAAAATGTATAATCTAAAGCGTGTCGCAAGTGTAAGGCTTTTTATTAAAGAAATAATTATTTAAAATATGCTGTGATTGCTGACATCCTACGCCACGAAGTAGTGTGTGTTTACGCTTTATTATAATAGTATAGACAAATAGACGTAATACATGTGTATTGTAACTTCGTTATATTTTAACCTTATTATGTAATATACAAATTTCTAAACAAATACTTGAGAATGACTCACAAAGGCGTATTTACAGTGTTATTAACCCTTTTGTGCTCGACCGAATTTTGATAATTACTACATTAATTGGATTGCTTTGTTTGTTCAAACTTTGATATTTGTAGATGGTATGGTCAGAAAATTGTCGTCACTTGTGTTGGCTTAATTTGTC